ATACCGCGTTGATGTAACGTTAATATATGGACGAGGTGCGCATGAAACGGAAAGTAGGTAGGTCCTATGTATTGAGAATATTCACTAAAAAAACAAAACTTTTCGGTCTTTTGTTTGTCTCATTTGGGCTGTCTTCATGCGTATATAATAATAATGATATCTTCGCGTCATGCGTGAGTGCCGAGTGATTTTCACATCCTATTTGACAATATATACCTACAACGTGACGCTCTTGTACAAAACAATATACATAATAATATACACATACGATGCAATTGGCGCCCAGATGGCTTTCGAGTACACAAATCAAAATTAATTACATTTCGTTTCTTAGTACATTCTCATTAGTTTAAAATATTCTGTTTGCCTTGCGCAATTCATAATAAAATGTAGAACATATACAACATATACATTATATATCTTACTACGTTCGCATAAAATAAACTATTTTAATAATTCAATGTACCTAATAAAGTAATAAGTAGGTTATAACTATCAATTACATATTAATGATTTTAATGTGTAACAAATTTTAAATAGTTTACAAACTGATGATTATTTAGCTATACTGTAAAATGTTACGAAAAACGATTATACCCGACACTCCCGACCACGTGGTTTCAAATCCAGATAGGCATGCACTTCTGCGATCTGCACACATACGGTCGCATTGTATATAATAATATAATATATTATATTGTTATATTTAGGTAGGTTGTATTTCATAAATAATATCACGCTCTTCCAATGTAGGTATATACTAGGTTCAACCTATACGTATAATAATAATAATATCATATGAAAACGACCGCTTTTGTTGTCGAGATGAAACAATGAACGACGAAAATCCAGGGAACTGGGCCGTCCAGAGAGTTCGATACACTTACGCTCGCGACGTCTAGACGTGTACGCGACCCGGAAACTCGCGCACCTACGATACTGCAGTCGCCACAGTCTACAACCGCCTTTGCGAAGTGCGTGGGAAATTCTCATTTTCTTTTCCGAGATCGTAGGTACACACGCATACGAATGATTTCCCTTTCATATAATTTGTGCTTTTATTATTGGAAAAAAAATTGTTACTATAATATGTATATATTAACATATTTTAAAATATAAAAATAATATATGGAACTCTGGTGTGCCTAACCTAATAACTTTTGATATTATCATATACATATTATTATCGGAGACACGAGAGTACAAGAGAAAAATCCTATCGATACGACACATCTGGCGGTGACTACAATATCTGATTACACCGTGCCGATACCCAATACGGCGACTTCTCCGGTTACGACGTCACGTCGTGTGTATCGTTGGAAGTCAGAGAAAAACTCGCACACGTTTCGTGACCGTCCGTCCGATCGCTGTCATAATATTGTAGTGTTACTATCGAAAGAAAATTATAATGAACAATCTGCAGTTCTTCGGTCGTGCGTGTGAAAAACCGCAAATTGAATAATTAAAATTTTGTATATGAAATTAGGTTTTATAAACATTATTTGAACGCATTATAGAACAAATTCAATGATTGTACTTATATTATTTATTTTATATTATAATGAACAAAGAGGTTCATGCCACGACGGCCACGATTCGAAACGGTTCTAAACTAGTCTTGGCAATGCACGATTTGGCCAAGTCGAAAATTAATATAATATGGCACACGCGGGACGTTTGGCAGACGTTCGCTTTTGTGCCGCATGTGTGTAAATTGACATTTTGTGGGAGTACAATTCGAATTTATTCGTTGCAAGTTTAATTATTAATATACTCGAACAAGTTTAGGTCTGCGAGGTGAAAATAAAATAATCAAATCAACAATGTACATATTTAGGTTTGAGTATTGATTTAGATTTTCAAAAAAAAAAAAAATTACTTAAACATCTCGTATTTGCGTTATTTCTGTAATTATTTTTTATTTACTTTTTAATTCCGTGGTCTTGCGTGGGTAGGAAACGAAGACATGACATTAATTTTAAACACCGCGCCAAAACCACCAAATCATTCTGCTGACCTAATTGCTTGCCCGTCTTTTCGAAATTGAATATTCCCAATAAAACCAGTTGTCTACGACTCCTAAAGGTCGTGTGAGGTACCGAATTCATATAATAATATAAAAGGGCAACGTGCTTGTGGAATATATACTAAAAATACGTATTTCGTGCTGAACATACATTTCCGTTCCGATATGAACACACTGCACAGCGGACTCCAATATTATAAGTTACGACATATTGTACCTAATGTATCAATTTTATCGCAAATGAAATTTCCAATTTGCTTTTATTATTTCGATATACCGATAAAACTTTTATTCCTCTACATGTATACTGTGAATTCAATCGTTTATTGCAGTTTAGTTTATATACGCACCGTGCGAAGTACAATACACACTAGGGATTTTGTTTACCATTTTTATTCGCGTGCAGTAGGTGATATATATACATACATAGTTTGTTTGGCTCCGTGCGATCTATTCTCAACGGACATTTTTATTAATTGGATAACGACGAAACTCCATTACGTTCTTCGTATTTGTCTCGTATTTCGTATATAATATGTTTTACCGTGCGACGGTGGGTACGTAGGTACGTCTGCGATAGGTGGGTTATAAGTTATAACACTTGTTAGCTATGTATAATGTATATAATATTCTCGAAGAGTATATTAAGTATATCGAACGATAGGTCGCGGTGTCTCGTGAAGCGTGTATAATATTATATATTGACTCGAGTTAGCGGTGTCGCGCGTTCGCTTGCGGTAAAAAACAAACCCGTATTTCATCGATTTTTTTTATTCCATTTAGGTCTTCTCCGTCGTTTAATTGTGGTAAAAGCAAAAAGTAGTCAGAATTGGAGCTCGAAATTAAAAAAAAAAAATTAAAGTCGCTCTGCTGTACAGTAGGTTACAAGTGGGTCACTGTAATAGATGGTGTTAAATTTTAATTCAATGATATACTATCATTGTATAAGGAAAACGATTCTGAGCGAAAACAGTCAGTCAGCCTACGATATTACAAAGTATATTTGATGATATTATTGTGAATAAAGTAATTTATATATAACCTATTTATGTGGAACCTTGTTTTAAATTTTCAATCCTTAGCTATAAAAGTTGAACATTTTATACATTTTTAGCTACAAAATAATTATTACATTTTAAATTTGATAAATTTTGTCAAAATTCAAACTTTAAATGCTTATTTTTTCTTTCTAAAGTACCGACTAGATTCACTTTCCTAAGTGAAGATACCCAGAAAAGATACTATTGAAGAAAATCCAAGCACTTTTACTGTACTAAAAGGTGATGACAGACACAAAAAAAAATAAAAAAACATCATTGTAAAATCAATACATTCATCGTTTCCACTCAGAATCTAAAATTAAATTAAGTTTTATATAAACGTGGTCGTATGTGCGTTTTCTTTAACCTAAACATAAATAGTTGCACAGTTATATATATTATAAACTTCTATATTACGTTCTATATTCTCAGCAATGAAAGCTTTTTAATAATAATAATTATATACTGCGTTATTCTTCTTTATATCAACAGATAGGTAATGATATAGACAATATTATATGACTATAATACTAACTTCCTGAAAACGGTTATATTTGTAAGATATGTTTGTACTGCGTGCGTTGTCTTCTTTTCTATATACTATAGTACCAATATAATAGTATATACACTTTTTGAATTGAGATTCAAAATTGCATTTCTTTTCCTATAATGCTGTGCCTTGAGCGCCGGAGAAAGGCGAATCGTCAATGATGTACCTATCTCGGTGTTTTTAATTCGAAAATTATAAAGCAAATCAAACGAGTTTGATAACTTAACCGCCGTGTAATGTAATAATGCTTTTCCTTCGTGGATACTTAATTTACTAAATATGTTATTATGTATTACATACATGGGTAGATTAAATGTTATGATTTTGATAACCTACATATTACTAAAATTATATCACCATCGCAGAAATGTTACATAGATAGTTTATTCTCGTAAACTATATAATTTTGCCTACAGCTCAGTGGTATAATATTATACATACGTAAAATAGTTATGTACGGTATGAATAAATCGTTTGTGGTCATCGGAGTAAACATACACACCACATTAACATTTCGAGCGTGACGTTCAAACGATTTAAGTATCGTTTGGCAGCCTTACAGAATTCCGAGTATTGCATTAAAAAGACTAATAAATCGTGGAACTGGCGAGGTCAAAAGTTTATGTTCGGTTTACCGTGCACAATAGTATAGCATGAAAAATCTCGACATATATAGATATTCCACCCAACGTGATGATGACGATATTGGTACCTAGCCGCTGTAACGGTACACTGTCATCGGATGGCGAGCAATCGTGTACAATTCGGGAATTGCCAGAGTGTGTATATAGTGTATACAGGGTGTAACAGAAATATCTGAATTATGAAGTTATTTTTGTTCTACCTATAGAACATAGGTATATAATCAATATTAATTCTTTTTTAAATATTTAATTATTAGTTATCATATATTATTTAAGTTGAAAAAAAAAAGTTTTAAAATGTTGATGATAAAAATAATTACATAGGTTGATTATTTCTAGCTGTTCTTTCTGTTACACTCTGTATACCATATAAAATCGAAATAATACGATAATAATAATAATTATTATTATTATAAAAAGGACAAAACCAATCGAAGAAATCGTCTCGTAGATTATCTACGACGCTGGTTTCGCACACAATAGACACGAATACGTGACGTATATAATATGATTATAAATCCGCTATCGTTGCTTATATTGTTGTGCATTGCCTGGTGAATGGTGGTAGCGTTACACCGCTGGCCCGTGCTTGTCGTTGACCTGATTATAATATTATGTAGATTTGAAGGCTTATAAGCGCTAATAGGGGGGGGGGGAGTAAAAACGGATATTGAGAATATCGTGATAGTATTCTATATATTTTAACGTTGGCGGCAATTTTTCGCTTTGTTTTACAGGCAGAACGTGACAGTCTGATTGACACGCACCATGAGCTAGAAAAACAGCTGGTGACCCGGGACCTGGAACTGCACGAAAAGGAAGAAGAACTATTTTTGCAGCTAGAAAAGGTGATCCGGCTGGAAGAGGATTGTGAGAAATTGCGCACTGAAAAAGACAAGATGGTCAAGTGGAAGGATCGTCTGGAGCGCGAGAAAAACGAAGCGTACAGGCAGCTGCGGCTCCAGGCTGAATCGTCGGAAATTACTAGGCGCAACTTGGAAAAAGCTCGTTTGGACGCGTACAGACAGTTTTCGGAGATCGCAGCCGAAAAGGATACCCTCGAAAAAGAGGTACCTATATACCTATATTATTTGCAGAAAACGTTTGAAATTTGTTTATTAGGTACATAATATTATCGGTTTTTGTTTTTAGAACTCTAGGCTTAAAGAAGTGTTGGAGGATCTCGGGAGGAAAGCCGATTTGTACCACACCAATAGCAGACAGGCAAGTAAAAAGGCCAAGCGCGTATCTGGTCTGGAACGCGAAGTAAACGAACTGAAGTTGATGGCCAAACAGTCAGCCACTCTAAACAGTCAGCTGCAGAAAGGTATGAAACACTTGGCCACGTGCAGGCGCAAGAAGTGTTCCGTTTGTTCATACACAAGAGCCACGTTTGGAGAGTACACGTCTAGTAGACATGGGTAAGTTCAAACATTGATACTATACTTGCAGAATTTGATTGGATTTGGTTTTTTTTTTTTGGTTTTGCATTGAAAATAGTCAAAAACTAATTAAACTGCAGCGCGCTTACATTAAAAGCTCTTTTTTGTCCTTAGATCGCTCTTATTATATCCTTATATATTCCTTATATTCTATATTATCCTTAATCCTTATCCTTATATTATACACACTATTTTAACCAGCCCCTATATTAAATAATAATGTTAATTTTTTTTTATTGTCTGTCAAAATCTACAGGGAAAAAACTTCGAGGTTCATCGGAGGTTGTTTCCCGCTCGAAGAGTTTCGCCGTTCCTCCGATCGGATGTCCACGTCTGACCTCGAACATGAGTGTGCGAAACTCGCCGAACGTCTGTCGGCGTGCTCGTTCCCACACACGCCACCGTCGACACCCGAACGGTCCGTGGCCAGTGGATCGCTGTCCCGGTTTGTATCGTACATTGACGACGCGTTCTCTTCGGCCAGCGACGACGAAGACGTCTGCGGCGAGATAGGCGGCCGACCAGCCAAGTGCACCGGAAGCGGAAGCCGCCGTCAGTTCTCTTCCGATTCAGGTATCTCTTCGTCTTCGGCCACACCAACCGACCCGAACAAGTTAACTCCGGCATGTGGTGGTGGCGGTCATCGCCCTTCGTCGACCACGTCATTCAACCGTTCCGCCAAGTGGACTTCATCGTTCAGGAAGCTCATCAGACGCGTGTCTTCCAAGAAGCACGTCGACGAGTCTCAGTAATAATAAGAAGAATATAATAAGTTAAGAGAGGTTCGGAATAGTTTTCCATCAAAAGTGTTATCTACATCATCACGTGTATTGTTATTTTTATTTTTTTTTTTAATTTTAGTTTGTTTACATCATTATTATCATTATACATTTAGGAGAAATTATTACTGTCGATATACTTTACTAGTGTATAATGTATCGGATATCTCGTTTATTATTACTGGGGGGAAGCTGGGTTGGCCAAAAAGACGTGCCTGTTCTCACGAAAAGTATTTTTACGAAATTTTATCGACGCCGTCGTTGTTCACTCAGATGTTGTTTTGCGCTGCTTATACGAAGTCTGTCATTATAGATGTATAATATTTTATGATATTATATTGGTAGACTAGCCAGTAGTTACGTAGAGGTAGGTACTGAAGTCTTGATTTTTCGTAGTGACGTGCCTACGATACAATATATTGATAGCATACTTTTCTCTCGCTATTTTTTATTGTTTTTATTACGATTTTAATTTTATTTTTTAACTTACGATAATTGCAGTATTAATATATTTACTTTATCATATCGTTAATATTCAAGAAAACTCATCATTCCTATTTAACGATATGTTATTCCTATGTATCTTTAATAATAAATAATGAATTCTTCAGATTTTTTTTTATTTATCAAGTCTATACGCTTACTCGTTGTTTAACAATATTTTATTTATGGAAGTGTTGCATTTATATTATTTTACGATAATCTATTAAGAAAATGTTTATATACTGACGGGGATCAGGAGTATAACGAATGTTTGTTAAAAAGACATTAAAATATAAGTATTAGTGTATTGATGGTCCTATATACAAACTATGTAATGGTTAATTTAATAATTAATATACTTTACTGTAGAATGTTTTGTTTTGTTATAGACCAATAACGTTATTTGACTTAGGCCTTACTTTTAAAAATAAACATTTTTACTGTCGTTGAAATATATACCTACTAAATATTATTGTAATTGAATAATGTTTAGTTTTCTTTTTTATCATGTAAACAAAAAATATTGCTAATGTGTTGAATACTGTATACCTGTTAGTTGTATAATTAAAATTAATATGAATATATCAAACAGATTTGAAAGCAATAGAAAACTGTATTGTTTCTTTCGCGCGTACACCGCACCGAACTTGAAGCTGACGAATTCACTACCTCTTTTTAGGTACACACTCAAAACAGACGAATTATCAAATGCGTATTGAAAATATTTTCACTCGTGCCAATGATTCTTGCGAAAGCCGTCGCCGACGGGGCGTATAGTGTACCCACTGAGCTAAAAACAAACATTTCGTACAATAACAATTAAAACTGCAGAATATGCCAAATCGGTTATTTTACCATTATAATGGTGTGCGGTGTTACTCGATTATACTATATATTATAGAACACGTATCCAGCAGCCGGTGGTTGTGACAGCGAAACGAGTCATCAGTTCGTCGATATTGCAGTAAACAACAATAATTTATGTGCTGAATGTTTTTTTTGGCATAATATCAACAACGATCGACTCGAAAAAAAAGTGAGTGTCTATAGTCACGTATAAGATATACATTTTATTCGTTTTATCGTATATAACGCAGACTGGACAGGCGTGTACCTACGCTACGTATTATATCGGTTTCTGATTTTAACCGAATTCGGTCGCATTTCTGCAATTTGCTTATGTGAAGAATTTTTTTTAAATTAAGGTTTCAACATAGAAGTGCGCAGCCCGTTGTGACAGGGTGGGCCAATGATACTTCAAAAAAATTATTTTAGGTGTTACACTGTTATCTATAAAATTACAATCATTTACTCATCGGTCATCACCCACTGTTTAAATTTTAAGGTATAATATATTTATTTTTATTCATGAATAGGGCTAGGATTTATATGCATTTGCATACTATTTTCCTTAAGTCCAAATTGATTGGTTGTGATATATATCCACGATTTATCTTATCCCCGATTAAATAGAACTATTTTTTGTTTGCATATTTTATAGATTTAAGAGAATCTTGTTAATTTTGTTGATATAGGAAAATTAAATATCAGAATTCTTATACTACTGAATAAGACAATCATAGGCGCAATTTGGGGGGTGCTTGGGGGTGCTTAGCACCCCCAAAATTCATATTAGCACCCCCAAATTTTCAACAGCATCATTTAATTGTTATTGGTTATACACGTATTATGTCATAGACAACAGGATAAATTAATTTCTAAGATTTGACTTATATAATAATAATAATATTTCACTCGTATTTTTCGAATCGTTAAGTCTGTGCGACTGTGCGACGTACATGTAACGTGTTTTATTGTTTATCCTCATTAACTTCCTATAGGTATTTAATTTAATTTAAATTATATTTAATTTTATTTTAATTACCTACTCAAGTTGTTATTGTTTTTAATTTTATTCTGGAAAATACTAAAAATATTTTTAGTATTTTCAATTTTGAAAAAAAGTCAAAAAATGATAATGATAATGATAAACACCAAGAAGTAAGTTTGATATTTATTAAATGAAATAATAAATAATTTTGCTATGTCTCAAAGGCATATATCTTTATTATAATATTCAAATGAAAATAAAAACGTATTTACCTGTATTATATATTTATTTTTCAATATTAATAATTATTGATTAATCAGGTAGTATTATGAATGCCATGAATGGTGTATGAGGGAGTGGGGGGGGGCGAAGCCCCCCACGGGTTACTTTGGTCCACATAAATCTAGCACCCCCATAAATTAAGCCCAAATTGCGCCTATGAAGACAATACAACTATTTATATGATCTAAGTTGCCATCTATAATACGTAAGTATAGTACAACTCGCAGGGTGGACCACGGCCCACCTGGCCCACCCCGTTCAACATTGTAGGTTGTTAGCCTGTCATTGAATTTTACATATTATAATTGTGTTACATTAGTATTACATTGTAGGAGGTCTTACAAATTATAATATTTACAATGTTTTTATAATATTAGTGGTACTTAAAAATCTGATCATTTTTGTAGTTAGGTCTTTGTTGAGCGCTTCAACTATGTTGAGTGGCACACTCCTCCACTATGTGTTTGATTGTTAGTGCTTTGTGGCATGTGTCGCATGTTGATTTAGGCTCTTTACTAATTACGTATGAGTGTGTAAGGAAGGAGTGTCCGATACTGATGCGGGTGATTGCCATATCCTGTGTTCGACTGAAAGTATAGTAGCAGCATTTTTTTGTTTTTTAATATTTTTTAGTTTGTTAGATGTTTTAGGTATTGAATGCCAGTGATTTAGCCAAGATGAGAGGATTTATTAATAGCGTTTCTAATGTCGTTCGTGGGTATGTTATTTATTGTTGGATTTGAATTATAGTTGTTGTTCCATGATTTAGCCTATTTGTCTGCTTTTTTGTTTCTTGCTATACCCATGTGGGATGGTACCCACATGAATTCGATGTTTTTTTTTAAATTTTTATTTTGTGAAATTTGGTAGATTTTTTTTATCAAAAATATTACGACGTGTCTCGTTTGAACGATTTAAAATTGGCCATAGTAGTTCATCGTTCGCTGGTACGAAAGTGAAATAACAATCGACGGACGACATTATTCCGTCAGGTTTTTTGTGTTATGCTATAGTGTGGTGTTTGACGAATGTCGATGAATTTTAATCGCACGCCGACGTACTATCCGTACGAGTACACGTGTTTACTTTAGCGACTCGTGTAGGTTTCACTTGTTTTCATTAATATTTATCGTTGTACCATTTAGCGAGGTTATTTATTGGAAAGAACACTTATAATATTATTACCGATAATATGTTCCTTTAATTGTTAGTATTATGTAATGCATGCATATTGTAAAAGGTAATGTAACGTCGAATGGCCACAGTTGCCGCGGATAGTATGTTTAATAAAAAAAAATAAAAATATTGGAAGGAACAAATAAATGAAAATACCGTGCACGTGCCTCGTATGAGTATTATCATATTATGACGTGCGGTTCACGGAAATGTTTAAATGCTCAGAGTAGGTATAGATCACCAAAATTAAAATATCTTATTTAGGTGAACATCCCAGATGGTGGTGTATTTAGGAATTTTTCATTGGAGAGTCCATATGACTTTCATAACACTGAAGTGAGAGATTTCCACGGGGGCAGTATTTTAGGGCAGGGGCTGGAACCAAAACCACAAGAACTGGTTCTGGGACCAAAAAACCTATCAAATAACAGACATTGGAACCGAATTTAAATATTTTCAAACGAAAAATATCAAGTTTTACTAAAGTTATTAATTTTGATTTAACCTCTATGAAAACTTTTTTCTGCTATAAGGAGTTCTTTGCTAAACTAATATTAATTTTGGTTTGAGCCATTTATTTCTTGGAAAATATGAATATTTAAAATGGCTATTTATATTTTTTTTTGAAAAACACATTAAACACATTTTTTTTGAATATACATATTAGGTACACAATTTATATAGTTATTTTATTTATAAATACAAATTAAACATATTAAGTATGCATTGAAAAAAAAAAAAGATCCGTTTATTTAACAGTGATTTGAACCGGAACCCTAACATCAATATAAAATCACGTAAATATACAACGTTTAACATTGTTGTATTGGATATATTATTAAAATGATATAGGTATGTATCAATGACAGAGAAAAGTGTTCGGACATATTATGATGAATGATGATGACCTTTTAAAACAGATATAAAAAATATTGATTTCCAAGTGATAATCACGTAGGTTAAACTAAATCAGTACCTATATTATACCTACCTACTTATTCTGTGAAATATTTAATTTGTTTAGTTTAAACAAGAAACCGACCTTAAATAATACTTTAAAAATCAATTTGTTTGGTTATAACGATCTAGTAATCTAACTTATACATTTGTTATGTTTCTGAAACTATTAGGTAAATGTCAACTGAAGAGAGGTTGTCGTAGTAAAAGTGACTATGTTTCTCTGTTTATTTAGTTTATTCTTGACAGTTTAGATTCTGATGTGTGTTTTTTTTTAAATTTAAATTTTTATTTTTGTGTCCGTCATCACCGTTTGGGGCAATAACACTGCTTAGATGGTGCATTCGGGAGGTCAAAATTTAAAATTCTCAATTGTTTTCAAAAGCGCTGGGAAAACAGTAATACTACTCAAAAATCGGTTTTTACATAATCGATTTTGGTTTTAGGTACTAACTTTAGATACAAATAACTTGAAGATTTTACACATATGTTTTTTTATCAATTCATATACTTGGATAAATTTCAAATATTTTTACCCGTTTTGAGCTGCTTACGAACATTTGTTAATTTTTTTAGTTAATTTTCTATAAATATTAATAAAATTGTATTTGTTGGGTCAAAAAGCGTGAAACTTTAATACAAGGCTCCTGATATATTGTTACAATAGCAGTTGAAAAATACTAAAAATTCACACATTTTTTATAAGCATTTAAAGTTGGAATTTTGACAAAATGTATCAAATTAATAATATAAAAATGATTTTTTAGTTAAAAATTTATAAAAAGTTCAACTTTTATAGATAAGGATTATAGAAAATTTAAAACAAAGTTCCACGTAAATAGATAAATAAAGTACTTTATTCACAATAATATACCATCAAATATACTTAGTAGTAATATATCATAGACTGACTTACCGTCTTCGATCAGAATCGTTTTTCGTATACAATGATATTATTATATCATTAAATTCAAATTTAACACCATCCATTACAGTGACCCACTTGTAACCTACGGTACAGCAGAGCAACACCCACTTGTCCACATTTTTTTTTAATTGTACAACCGTTGCTTTCTTAGGCCACGCACAGTAAGTACATTTTACATAAGAAAAATATTAGGAATTTATTTTGTATAATTTTTATCGCTGTCTCTAAACGTTATTAGTTATCGGTTTTAAAAAACAAAATAGCTGGCTGATATGTTATTTTATTCCAAAAGACTCCTGCCAACAGGAGTTGATTATAATTTTTAACTTTGGTGTTGTGTATATTATTATACCCAACCAGCCTTGAGTATCACATATTTTTGATCTCTGTGTAATATATTCATAAATAAATAATCACGATGGACATTCACATCGATCCTTATAACAACCATTACAGTCTAAAAATGTTACTAACTAACAACATTAACGGAGTAATAAACTGGTTGCAGAATTCTGCCAATTTCGGGCCTCACAGACAGGACGGGACACCCTTCAACCGAATGACGGTAACGAGATCGTGGTTTGACGTTTACGCCACTACAGGACTTGGCAAAACCAAATTCGTACGGACAGAGTAATTTTGTAATTCCTTAGGTCGGGGGAAATTCGAATAAAAATAGAAAAATATTGATTACGATATCGCTGCACGACGTGGTGCGTGCAATAGTATAATTTTCCCGTGTAATAATATTATGTATGTACAATAATATATTATAATATAGGCGTCTAAAATGGACAGTTTGATTCAAATCACGCAGCTGATGAAAGAAAATTTTTGTATTTCACGTTTGGGTTCGCACCAATTGCCATGGAACACGAAACATTTCAACGATTTGCCGAATGCTATCTACATAGCAGAGAATTCGTCCATGGTAAGTAAGTCTCCACGATTGTCCCCTCTTGCTGTAGCTCGTTCCACGGATTGAAACATTGTTATTATTATTTTTGACATCAAAACACAATATACTATTTGTCAAAGAACATGTCCATTATGTATTCAAAATTGTGATGGGGGGATGAAACAGAACATTTTTATACGCAATTATATTATTTTATGTTTTTCTCCGAACAATACCTTAACAGTTTCCGAAGGAACAAGTTGAGAAACTCGGTATCTTAGGATATTTTTTAGACACCGGCAACTCAAAATCTCCCTTAGAAATGATTAATGACATTTCAAACATATTGATAACGAGGCCAAGAGTAAACTTGACGACCAAAAGCGGTATGCATGTTTGCAAGCATTACTTGAACTTATACTGTTCAACGGGACTGGGACTGACCGTAGAAGTGCGTATATAAATGATTAATAAGTACCTAATTACACTTTTAAAAATTAATTAAGAATGTCTTCTTGAACCCTTGAACTTTAAGACATTTTAACAGTTTGAAGTTCGAGAAAAATAAGGTTTGTTAGTTAGTTTTTTTCGAATTGTTCGAGCATATTCAAATTTGAAATCGAGTGAGCAGATTAATTTTAATTTTTTTTTTTTTTGTGAAAATATTCAACTGTTCATTTTTACTACCAACTAGTAACTACCAAGTTTATTTTACTGCTAAAATATTTTAAAATTGTATGAGTATGACCTCTTAAAAGTTCAAAAGTTTTAAGTTCTAGACAAAAATAAAGTTTGAATTCGAGTTTGTTTTTTTGACACATTCCTAATACAAATATAGTTCACATAATTATACAAGTTTATAATATAGACATTAAAACACTACAAACATTATAAATACATTTTAATTATAATTTTAAATGTCAAATAAAAAATTATGAAGAATAATGAGAAGTGTTTATATTTAAAAGTAATTACTATTAATTTATTTTCAGAAACATGTTAAGTACTATGATCATTTATAATAAATTATTTCTATGCTAATATAGTATATTTTGACACTTTTACTATTATGTTTATTGTTTATGTATAATATTTATAGTTACGTGTACTTCCATAGAGTAATTTATGATAATAATATTAATATAATATATAATATATATAATTTTATTTCCACTTTAATTGTATAAAATAATGAGTATCATCCGATGGATTTCGCGGCAGTTAGCTGGTTATATTCCTCGAGTTTTTTTCTGTATTTTTATAAATCATACTCTAAAGTTCAACGTTATCCAGGGGGCCCTAGGGGCCATGCCCTCCATAAACCCATATTTATACAAAATTGTACATTGGCACATTGCTAAAAATAAAATTACAAACCAAAAAACATAGAATAATATTATACTATCGACTATCATTATACGACACGCACAAGTATGTAGATAGAGGTACCTGCTATTATCTATATTATGAAGAACCTATAAATAAACTATAATAATGGGAGGACGGAGTGGCCAAGCTGTCTAAAAGGCGTCGGTTGATTCCGAGAGCGGGTGGCATTTTTCTTCGGGCAAGTAATAATGGTGTCCGGAGAACAAGTGCCGCCATCCCCGCACCTGGGCATGGCAGATACCTTCCTACGGGTGCCCAAATTGAAAATTCTGCCAAAACACACACGTGTTAACAAACCTTTAGTACCCCCCCCCCCTACAGTACCACAGGCTAATGACCTAAGTTGTCGAAGCCTTAAAAATAAATGAAAAATAACTATAATAATAATATGCTATTATAATATAAAATATACTATGGTATAACACTATGATATTTTTTTTTTTAATATGTTTAAAACATTAATTGCGTAGCACTAGAGATGTTAAATTTCAGAAATTTAATTCTGAAGAAATTTCCTATAGGAAATTTCCAGAAATTTCTAAAATATATGTTTTTTAAAAATTTAATTTTAATTCAACTTATTAATATAAATTTTTTTTTAATTAGCTTTAATCAATTTAAAATTATTCTTTAAATTTAGACAAATATTGTATTCCCTAATTTGATCTAATTTTTAAATGTTATCAGTAAATTTAATTTAAATAAATAATAATCAATATATACCTTTTTAAATAGACATAGACTCAATTCTTTATTATTAGTCTTATTTAGTCAAAATAGTTGTACGTAAAAAATGTATATATTAATTATTTTGTTAAGAAATTTCATAATAGAAATTTCTTCCTCACATCACTACGTAGCACACATTTCTGTACGGACTACGGAAATACTAAGAATATTAGGTATCTTGATAAAAATTGTCATGGCTCCGTTCAAGGATGACTGAAGATATACTATCAGCATTATGTCTTATAACTCTTATTAATGTGTAACAAAGTAGATGTTCTAGATCAAATAGATCACATTATTGATATTTTTTCCAATTCTAAAAATAGATTACTTGGTTTTGAGTTGTAAAAATTTTTGTTTTCTTTTTGTTATACAGTGTTTAGAAAATTAAAACTTGCCCCCCCCCTCCACCAAGTCACTGGAGCCGCCCCAGATGGTACCTATATTAATACGCGTGATTGACAATGCAAAGTTAAAAAAAAAAACGATAATTTATCCATCGTATATTATTATTAATAATTTATTTTTCTTGTCACCTTTGTAAATCGTTTTCCCAACGATATGTCCTAATACAAGTGATATTATAATTTGTAATTATTTATGTGTACACTCTGCAGGAGGCGAAAACGAGGTCTGCTGAGCAAATGCTGAACACGCTGCGAAGACTATGCGGTTTTGTACCAATGTTAAACTTACCGTTAATGGATCACCCTGGAAATTACGGAAATGAACATCGAATGTGTTTGTGCGTAAGTAAAACCAATTTTTTCATTAATTTTATCATTGCATTCAGATTTGTAAGTTCGTAACAGTATAATTATTAGCTCACATATGGGCACAAATACACGCGTAATATCGTCATTCGTCGGTTTAGTTCGAACAAAAACTTAAATCAATCGTAAACGTATATTATAATAATATGTGATATTATTCGGCAATATTCGCGTACGACGACCAGCTATACACTCTGAATCGATTTCCAAACTAAACAGCAGCAGCAGAAGTTAATCGTTTGGCGTTTTTTTGTCCGTCGCAGTTGCCGATCGACGACCAGTACAAAATTAAACTGATCAAATACTTTTTGGAGTCGCCCAAGGTGCCGCACACCGTGCAACTCAAACAACTCGAGGCCATGTTGAAAGTGGTCGTGAAATATTCGGACACGGGGTCCAGCGGCAAACCTGGTGTGGCCTGTGAATTTGGACCTCACGTCACAGTCGGCGTAGGTGCTACAAAAATGGTACTATTGAAACATATAAATAACATTAACAATGATTAAAGACCATATACCAGTATAATAATATATACCATCACTCGCGTTGTTCGGTCCCGCTGCAGATAAGCGTGTTCAGGTCACGGACGGCAATGTTGAACAAGCTGAAACTGGTGTGTGGGTTCGTGCAATATCCGCGAACGTTCGTGCCACCGGACTGCTCAGATTCTACGATGGCCGAAGACGGCGACAACAACAACTGCTACGACAGACTAAACATTTCCTTCCCGAGCTTACTGCAGCAGGGCAATCACCCGTTGAACGAAATGTTTCCGGCCGAACCCGTCGAGTATTATAGAGACACGACGGTGTCCAATCGCTCAGAAACGACTGACACCGTGCGTATCATATTATTATAGTATATAATATTATTATATATTTATTTTAACGATGAAGATGACGATATATTAAATGTTTTAAAAATATGTTATTATTTTTGTCATGTGGTGACATTTTTCAAAGATTTTGTTTGGCCGTGGTCCGATATAAATTTGATCTACCTAGTACCTTCATATAATAATGTAGATTTCTGATCTTGGAGATATTCTACAAATATCGTATCTGTCTTTCTGTGGGTGAAGTACTGCAGTGGCGTATATAGGAGGGGGCATATTGGAAACAATCATTGTGTGGGTGCAATCTATTAAATAAACGGGGAACACCGTTCGACCGAATTCCGAATATTATTACCTATTTGAATCTGACCCTGATGAATGTTTTCTGTTTCAAAAATGTGTAATTATTTTTGTTGTGTGTCTGACATCGCCTTTAGGAACTATAATAATGCTTCAATATTCAACGTTGAGGGTAGTTTATGGTAAAAATTTGGACCAGTACTTATTACAGTATTTATGAACGGTAACAATCTATACAGCAGATTGAATTTCCCGGTTTATTTGTTTTCTATTTACAAAGCTTCGATTTTTGCTATTTTGAAACTGTTTGGTGATCAACACTGTTTTTTTAATAAGTCACATATTCACGCGATATGTCACGAGGATATTATAACGCCTTACTACATAAAATATGTATTTAATGCAAAGTACATAATATTATAAGTTTGCACCAGGGGCGTAATTGGGGGGGGGGGGGGGTGAGGGCTCCGCTTAAGCCTAAAATAATGCACGAGCCACGAATGCCCAATTATTAACATGATTAAAATTAAATTGCATTTTAATTTTTCATTTTTATATTGACATTTATCAATATTGGTATTTGGTATACCAAGTCAATCATGATTACAACTTAAAATTACATTATTTGGTTATAAACAAATATCGTGTTATCAATTAATTCAGTAAGCAATAGATAGGGTAACAGCAATAACATGGAATCGCGGCACAATAATAAATTATAAGGGATGACGGTAATAAACTGATAATAATCACGATAGACTATATAGAACCAACCAACAACTTATTTAAGTTATTTGAATTTTTTTAATCCAGATAGTCTATTTAAAACTATTTATAAATATTTAGTTATTTTAACTTTAATTAAATTCAAATTGCTTCTGAGTTTCCATCAGCAAAAACACTATTTAAAGACAAACATTATGTTGATTTGAACACCATAACAATGTGCCAAAAAGATTTTCCTATCGCTTTTGTTGAAACTTTAAAAATTATTTCATTGGTAAAAACTTCACCAATTACAACGGTACAAATTAAGGTTTTTTTCATCACTTAAAAGAGTTAAGTCATATTTACTCACCTACCATGGGTGATGAAAGGCTAAATGATCCGATGGTATTTAATGTTGAAAAAGAAGAAGTTAACAATAAAAATATTTTAGAAGAAGCTGTAGATATATTTGCTAAACTAAAAAATTTTCGATATCCGCTTATTTTAAAATATAATATTTTTTTGTCTAGCGCTTTGCTTTTTCCAAAATTATAAAAATTATGAAAATAAACGACAATTTATTAATGTAGATATTAAGTCCTCTTTTTTATTTGCTGCTGCATTAATTCTTCTTCTATCTTTTAATGCATCAATTATTATTGGTTTTCACTGTTAAGGTAATTAATTATTTATTATATTTTAGTTTCCCAATTGATATTTACTATTTATTTTGATGCAATGATTCCGAATTGATTCTGTCCATATTGATAATGTATGGAAATAATTGAAAACAGAATAATGTACATATGTAGGTATATCTATTTTTATATGGCCTGCTTGAAACCTCGCAAATCCGAAAACCTGAAATGACGCCCCTGGTTTGCGCATACTGACCTCTATGGTTTTACAGCCTACCGTTGTAAACGCCGGAAGAACGGTCGAAATCGTCGTGCGGGAGGGCGTGATTACGAGAGGTGCATTTAACCCAAACCTCGGACCCGGCCATAATAACTCCAACAGTCCTATCCGACCAAGGAGCAGCTGTTGTGTGATCCGAGACTCTAGGGCGGAAGGATTGACCGAAAGTTACAATCAAGGACTAGACATGGGGCAGTGAACACAATTATGCAACACACGACATGTGTTATTTAGATACTTATCAACTACGTCCGAACATGTTTAATGTGTATATCATATATTATTACTGTCCATTACTGCACTTTTTAAGACAAATATCATATTTCAATGTTTAAGGTATACCCTTTACTTTTATTATTATTAGTGTATAAGAGTATAAGAGTATAAGTTATTACCTATGTAACTTACTAGACAAAAGCGTGTTTTACTTTTTAAAACAATTTACGATCAATGGATTAATTTTATCTAGATAACGCAATTTATTCGCCGTCTGTTAGCGTTATTCGTTAATACATATAATAAACACTATACATTTACGTTCGACAATGCTAATTTAGTTAATCGGTTTTTAACGATTAAATTTGATAGGTAGTAATTAGACTTAAAAACGATAAAACATTTATGTAAAACCGTTTTCTATGGTCAACAATTTTTTTTGGTTGGTTAGGTATTTGAAATTTGAAGTGAGTAATTATGATTAACATTAATGAGTAAACAATAAAAATATACTTAGGTATTAGGCATAAACCTTATACTAACAAGTGAGTAATAGATGGTAATAGACTAATAGACAAGAACAGTATAACAACAGCATGAGCTGCTTGCAAACATATCGCAGTGATGTAAGCTGTCTTGACGACAAAATACAATAATCTTTATTTACATTATCTTACCGTACTATCCCGCACTACCAACATAATATTATGTGTCCCTCAGTCACCGAAAAACGCCTCTATGTTTCCGCGCTCTGTGTGCAATCACCTTCTTGTATATTAGTATAAGGTCTATGGTATTAGTCGATTCTGAAAGTCATCAAATAAAACCAACAACTGCTAGGCGTGGAGATAATGTTATATTTGAGTTAATAGGTAAGTAAAATAATATAAAATAAACGCAACAAATCTGTAATGAAAATCCCGAAGTCGGTGCTGTAAATGTGTACCTAACTGTTTATACCTTCGACGAGTGTGCACGAAGTAAGTACATACAAAAGACCAGCCGTCAAATATATTATTTTATAAAGCTCTATACATTCGATCGTGACCGTTTAACCATTTACGTTTATATATACAAGACTTTGAACTTCGATCTCGTTGATGATCTATATTGGTGTACTGTTATTATTGTTATTATTATTATTATTTATTATATCATAGATTATAGATTACATAAACTTATAAACTATATAGGTTTTGAGCACCGACCGCCCGAGGAGACTACTCAGTTGTTGTGGTTGGCGTAAGGTGTAACTTAGTGTGTAACTTACACAAAGGGCGATAAAATATTACATACATGATTAATAATGTAACCATCGTAAGTTTATAACATATATTATATACATATTCACGATGGAATAACGTCGATACTTTTGAATAAATAAATAGATATAAGATAACACCTGTCACAGTCCAGAACTCCAGTAACAGAATTCCATATTAATAGTAAACGTCTTGAATTTTCGTCCGTATTAAACGAACTTATTCAGTTTAGTCGGCCTGCTATATCGTAGTCTTACATGTAGGTACTTTTACAACGCAGCAATAGTAAATTGAAAACAATTTTAAATCCAAACAACAGTATACATAAATACATAATAATTCACACTTTGAGTTAACTCGTAACTTCCTGGTTTACATGACGCGCGAGTCATTTATCAAATAAATCGTAGGTATAATCAGCAGTAAAGTCCATTAAGCATTTAATAGGTATGTGTTGAACATTAAAATCATTAATAGAAGGGCGGCGGTGTACCCGCCTCGACAAGACAGTAAGACAGTATGTGATGAAATGCGTAGTACCTATATATAATATAATATTATATAAGTTTATATAAATATTACGAGTCTTAAATGTTTTGGTTAACCGATGATGTGGTGAAGTCTCACATAACATAATGAAGTACAGATAAAAGGGATCACATAAATATTAAAATATGGTATATTGGTAGGTATGTCTAATGGGTATAATATTTACTATTTAGTATGTAAGCGAAGGAAAATCTAGAAACGGTGTGAATATATTATTTTGAACTCGAGAAAAAGTTGTGAAGTAAAATATTTAACATTAAAAGTGAAAGTTAGTAAGCTTTAATTATAATATGAAACAGCCGATGATATACATATGTGGTTTGTTTGAATAAATTTTGTCCGAGAACAACTGCTCGTCCTTTCGCAACTAGTCCTCATGTGTAATATAATATGTATACATTAGGTATAGTGTTTGTTGGTGTGTGATATTATTATTGTGTTTTGGAATTTACATTATTTTTCTCCACATTTTTCATTTTAATTCCACTGCTGATTTTCAATTATCTCCGATTTTTAGCACGTGAAACTAACAACGACGAAAAACAACAATTTAAACTTATTTAATCACAATATTATCGTAAAATGAACTAGCAGAAAAGAAACGACGTGACTTTTTCATAAAAATACTGAATTTGGTATAGGTACACTCGGAATTATATGCTATAAGTAGTTTGTTATAATTTTAATAACAAATAACTAGTGATGGGTCGAACTGTTCGAATCTCGAACCGAACCGAACCGAACCCTTGATGTTCGGTTCGGTTCGAAATTCGAACTCGGCATGAAAAATATTCGAACCGAACTATCAAGCATCTCTTACTGTTCGAAAATCGAACTTGAAAATATTTGTCTCTAACCAGACTTATTGGCCACGATAGTTCAAACTTAAAAATAAATAAAAATTGATAATGGTTATTAAGAAATAATTAGACTATTGGCGATAGAAAGTTATAGCTGTAATGGCACGTCATGTATTATTTATAATAATAATGTTATTGTTCCTCGCCCGTTACACCCCCCTCCGATAACCAATGGCTAAGTTGTTTATCACCCATAGAGGCCGGGGGTACCTACATTCATAACACGGATATAGATACTATGGTTGCACGACGGCCTATATTGGATCACAGCGCCGAGCGGCACCGAATGTTCTTATCAAGTCTGACAAAAAGTCGCGTTTCACGGGCGCCCTCTACAACCACTACTAAGTTACGGTAACCAACCCTGGTTACCTAGCCACTGTGGAGCGCTAGTATGTCGCTACTTTTTTTGTATGGATACTATATATGTATATAAGTAACTTGATAAGAACATTTGGCTCCGTTATATTATTGCTCGTTGTGCAACCATAGTATCTATATCAAATAATACAAACATTTTAAATACAATAGTAATTTATTACTAAATACTAATTAATAATTGTGGTTGATTTAATTTGTAGGCTGGTACAATGTACATGATAAAAAGTATTGAGTTCGAGTTCGAGTTCGACTTAAAATGATTCTAGGTTCGGTTCGGTTCGGTTCGGTAGAAAATATTACGGTTCGTTTCGGTTCGGGTTCGAAAAAATAATTTAAAGTTCGGTTCAAGTTCGGTTCGATTTAAAAAATCAGCGTTCGACCCATCACTACAAATAACATAGGTACTGTTATGATTGCAACTTTGTAAACATTGCAGGACTCATATTCATGAGTGGTTGTTTCATAAGATATTAATTGTAGTATTTGAACTAATAATTTATAATATTAATAATTCAAGTGCAAATAAAATAATGAGTTGATAAAACCATTAAAAAATACCTATCTGCTATCTTCGATACCTATATATTTTGCCGCTTGCCGGAGTGTAAATCGCCGAAATGTTGGACATTTTTATATCATTATTTACCTACATTTTATATTATTATTACATTTATGTATTAATTATTGTATTCTAATTATATTAGTATTTTACTGTTCTCCAGTGTCGGCCTGGCCATGGCCGCTAGGCCGCAAACGCGTCCGGGGCCCTCGGCCGTATTTGAGTTCGGGGGCCCCCGCCCCCGACCGTACTCAGAAATATAAATAAGTGTTCAGATGAAGTTAGAATTATAACACCTTACACAAAATTTAAGTCAAATGCTTATTCTATTATAGATACTTCTTAATAGCATAAAATCACGATTTGTACCTAATGAAATGTTATTAAAAGATTTAAATTGGCTGGATCCTAAAACATTTGCTTTTATTAATGAACTTGAACAATTTGCCAAGGACTCGTTGAACACAATATGTACCTAAACTAGCAGATTTAGACAAAGAGATCATTGCAATTGAGCTAAAACAGTTTGCTTGTCAGTATAGTAATTTCATACCAGATGTATCTGAAAATGATTTTCACGATATTAAATCTAAATCTTCTAAAATTATATATATTGATGAAGATGAAGATATTGAAGTTAAACCCACCGAACAAATTAATTGTGACAAATGCACTAAATGTCTTCACTTTGCATTGATTTTGCTCCAAGAGCTGTCATGTCAATCTAATTTATTTTGTAATTTGTTCACATTATATAAATTTGTGTTGCTATTACCATCAACACAGACTACCTGTGAAAGAGTATTTTCAAAGCTGAAAATAATCAAAACTAAACTTCGGTCTTCTTTACCCCAAGAACATCTTAATCCATTAATGCTAATGTCCATTGAAAAGGATATTTTGATTGACTCAGATGAGTTGATTGATAGGTACGATTGCTAACTCATCTAGTGAACTAAAAAAATTACTGATATAAAGAAAACCAAATGCACAATTAATTTTGAATTTGAATCACATTAAAAAAATATTAAGTTGTATAATGTGAGAAGGTATTATTTATATTATGTAATATGTAAAAAATTGTTTAGAATAATAAATTATTAATCTAACTTAAATCTTAACTTAATGGATGGTTAATTTTATATATGGTACCTTTAAAAAATTATAATATTTTACACTACCTACTTATAAGTACATTTTTAATAATTTTATGAAAAAACATTTTTGGGGGCCCTTCTGAAGAAATGCATCCGGGGCCTTTTAGGTACCAGGCCGACACTGCTGTTCTCCCACAAAGTATAATTTATATAATTTATATAAATAAATAAATGAAAGTAAGACGTAACATTAATAGTTAATAGTTATAGGTACTATGCATAATAAAATATTTAAAAAAAATTGCAAGTTAATTATGATCTGTTCACTATTGTGTACAGTAGGTGTCAAGTGTACTTCTACACTATTCACTGCAGTCTGCAGAGTTGATCATAATATTATATATTATTTAGATATCTGGGTTTCGGTAAGACTATACATTGAGGAACCTCGTAGTACACTACGTATTATATAAATAAAATCATAATACAATATTTTAGATTTTGAGCGGAGCTAGTGGTTTTACAATACCTAGTGTTTATTTTTATTTTTTTATATCCTGTATACAAAATTTCTACCAGAAGGAGTTCTTAGATTTCAACGTATAGTACCTTATCTTTTAGCAAATTGGATCGAGATGGTACTTTAGAGAGGTCATTTTTCGATTTTATCAATAGTTATTTAATGCCAAGGTAAAAACCACCCAAAAATTACGAAAAACCTCTAAATATTGGATTTTAATTACCAACGCTTTGTTTAGAAACGAATAAAAAATAATTATCTTATAATAGTAGTCGTAGTACCTCCGTTGGGAGGCCTCTGCACTCCGTCCGGTCTGTCTTTTTATTTTATTTTATTTTTATTTTATTCTTTTACTAAACATCAATTGTTCTTATTCTTCTTACTGTAACAGATTGAATAAAAAACATGAATCAAAAAAAAAAATCTTATAATATTAATTCAACTTACATGATATAATAATTAATGACAATATAAAATATATAGACTGACAAACCGTCTCCGCTCAGAATCGTTTTTTTATACAACGATAGTTTATCAACGAAATCAAGTTTAATACAATTCATTATACAATGACCCACTTGTAACCTACTGTACATCAGAGCGACATCCACTTACCCGCTTTTTATTATTAATTATTTACCCTATTAAATTATCTAATAATATTAAACTAAAACCTTAAAGTTTATTTTGATTGAAATAATAATGTAATTAGTAAAGCAGCTATGAATATAATAGAATTTGAAGTATTTGAGTGCTATAGCCTATAGGTATTTGAGTTCTTTCGAATATTCAGTAATTGTTTATCGTTTATCATACAAAAATTAATTTATTTTCTTAGCTATCACTTTTTTTCTATTCTTTTTTTCTTATACCTACTTAATTGGTAAGATTTAAATTATCTATAGGTATAATAATTTATATTTTGAAGGTAGGACATAAATAGAACATTTTTTTTAACAGGTAAAATATATTCTGTAATTATTACTGAATTATAATATATAATATAAAATAATAATTATAAGTTTAAACTACTTATTAGTTAAAATTTTAATAAAATATTAGGTATTTTACAATTTGTGAATCTGTTATGAAACCTATATACTTGAACTATAACTGAGATACAATTTAATAATAAATAAAAACTTACTAAATTGCGAAAAAACATGATCTATAATTATTACATTTTAAATAAAATTATAATAAAATAGAAACATAGTTATCACTTACTACATGGAACAATATAATAACGAATATTAAAATAATCATATTCCTGATCAAATAACATGTCAAAATATAATATAGTGATTAATAATGAGACTAATCAACTGCAGACATCGTTATCAAATAAACTACCATCATTGCTTGATAATCTTTCGTCATGATTATTTCCCTATAGTTATTTATAGTTTTGGACGATGACGTCTAACTACAATATTTAATTAAGTTAAAAACATTTTAATAATTAATAAATATTACGCACCCGTATAAAGTTGTTATCAGATTGTTACATGGTCTAATAAATATTATATAGTATATTATACACTATACAGTATACACATTTTTATTTATGAATTGTAGTTTCCTTTAAAAATAAAATAGAATATTATGTCAAAACATTTGGTACCATTTTGTCATTTTAATTTATACTAAAAAATCACAAGATAAGTATTAAACTAAGTAAGTACCTACTTATTAAGAGGATGTCAGTGCACTATTTGTTTTCTCTCTCTGGCCCACACGCAACATAAACGCATTTACGCAGAATCATTTTTGTCTATGTAATCTTAAAGTAAAATCACCCATTACAAAAAAGATAGAGAATAATACATGGATTTCATATTTTATTGTTATTTGACTTGCAAAATAAACAAAGAATATTGTAAATTTAAATTATGTTTAAATTGATTTGAGACAATATTTAGACAAATTGATACGTCATTCCCCCAAAAATATTGTTCTCTATATTTTTTGTAATGAGTGATTTTACTCTAAGATTACTTAAAAACATATAAAAAATGATTCAGCGTAAATGCGTTTTGTCTTTGTTGCGCGTGGGCCAGAGAGAGACAACAAATATGGCGCTGACATCCTCTTAACACAAAATATAATTTTTATTGAAGAAATGTCAAAATATTGCACAATAATTGCTGGCATACAGTTCAGTAGTTTTAAGTTTAAACTTCTACAGTTGAAGCTTACTAGGAAAACTCACAGCTACCTATACCTATACAGTATAAGTAGCTTATACGCTAAGATAATCAAGGAGAATACTGAATAGGGACTGTAGGACTTAAGGTAAAATTCTAATTATGACTTATTTTATTGAGTAAAGGCAATATGTCTCGATACCTTTTTCAATCATAGAAAATGTTATGGACCTACTACCTATCGCTCGGGTGTTCAGTAAGAATGCAATTGACAAACCAAGTAACAACTACAAAGTTAGTCATCATGAAATCATGTCTGTATCTTGGAAAAATCTAGACTAATAATTGAATAATTGAATAAAATCACTTTTGATAGGGACAACTGAGTATAATATTTGATTATATAATATCAAATACGGTGCACTGGTATACCGCAATTAATTAATCATTTATTTGGATGTTTTTAAAAAAATAGTGAACTTACTTAAACTCATTTCACCAATCAAGACAACTATTATTTGATATTATTATTTTAGATAGATGCCTATAAAGTTTGTACTTACTTCATTTTATTTTTACCTTTGAAAATAATATACTCCTAAAATTATTAAATACCAATGTAGTTTTATGAACCGAAGTCCAGAACCAAAACCGGTACTGAATTTTTTTATAAGAACCGAATTCAAACCAAAAAAAAAAATCAGAATTTTGATATGTAGGTTTTTTTTAATTTAAATAGTAAGAGCATAATTATTCTTGAAGTGTATCATATAAATATATTACAGAACAACTTTGACGAGTATACTTTTGTTTTTAAAAAATAGTTTTGTTAAAGATACAAACAGATAGATACTCATTTTCCGCCCTTATTAATATCGATCATCATTCATCTAACAACCTAACAAGTAAATTCCAAAAAAATTCACCATGAATTTTATATTAAATTCTTCAGCTCCCAGGTTGCTGCGTTATTACGGTGTGGAAACGGTAAAATCAAACAATTCAATAAACTTCGACTGGCTAGAAAAGCGTTGCCAATGTAATATATAAATATTGCATAAACAATTTACGGCTGACCGAACGAGGTATTCACGTCAATTGCATTGTATATTTTCCAAAGTGTGTTTTACTGCGAAATAAAATTTTGAGATCAAAAGCAAAATGGTGGATTATGACATCAAGTCGCAACTGGATCTGCTCAACGGTACTACTTGTATAGCGCATATATTGTTATATTATTATATATATTATATATTATTTTAGTAGTTTGTTGCGATTAATAATCGAAAATAATACCTTATAATAACACCGACGTCTCATACCGTTAACGTAAAAAAATAATAAGAAAGTCATTTTCCACGTATTTTTCCTTACGATAAATAATAATTTAAACTTCATACATATATTAATATTAAAATCTACTAATGAATAATAATACAGTCGACTTGATTAACTCGGAGTTGAAGGACCGGCCAAAAAGTTATTCGATAGTAAGTTGTCCACGGACAATAAAACTAAACTGAAATTATAGGAACGGGGAAACAGTGCGAGGTATATCGACGGTTTAAAATTTAAAAAGTTCGAGTCAACCAAGTTCGGCTGTATAAAGGTGGGTTTCCACTAGATACGTGTGCGTGTACGTGCATGAAAATACTTTTCTGTGATTGGTTGGTATACATGGTAAGCTTTTGGTATACCAGAATGTTCTACGTTCTTACCACAGGCTTGACCATGATACCATGAAGTTGAATCCAGTTCAACTTTTCACGTGTACACGGCTCTATATTGATAACGATTTTGATAACATAAGAATATACGAGGTATCTAATATGTTACCAATGCTAACCGATCAACCGATGGGAAACGTTTATGCGACCGTTCATAGCGAACGTATCCGGTCAATATATGCATGTAAACGTACACGTATGAAGTGGAAACCCACCTTAATAGTGTTGAATATTTTAGTACGGTATGCGGTATACGGTATGCGCGCCACACGAGCAGCAACTCTGCCGTGACGACAAAATTATAACTCGCTTTCTACGACCCTGGTACCGGAACGGTTTACTTCCAATGGGTACCAATGGTTTAGGACCTTGTTTTTTCACGATCGACATTTACTGTTTTCGCAGAATACTTAGACAGAGAGATGGAAGGCGTCAAGACTCGGTATTTCGTCGTCAAACCCGATGGCAAGGGAAGCAACGGCAATCGTCCGGTGAGTTGCAATACTGCACGTTATTATAGTACCTGAAATAAGTATATATACCTAATACAACAAAAATAATAATAATTATATTGTCCCGGAGTTTTTTGTCCGGAACTCTACCGCTTTGTTGTTTCATTACGACGATCAGTAAAAAATTATCACACAATATTATAATTGTCGTCGGCCCTCCGATGAAAATTTCGGTAGGTATATTATTATAATGTACAAAATTGTAAGAATATTTGAATAATATGAATACGCGACAAAGATCAGTGTGAAACTGATGAAACTCGCAAGTGGCAAGTATAATAATAGTTATGGTGTCGATTATTTTTATTATTTTTACTCATAGTTTAATATATTAGATTATAACCAATGATAAAGCGTACTCCTACCTAATAAACGGATTTTATATGTAATTAAAAGTTAAAACACAAAATTAAGGAAGTGTAATTAAAAGAATATGGTACAAAAAAAACATCAAATTATGTGGAAAAATATTAAAATTTTAGTGTAAATACCTATAAAAATGTGCGGAAATACATAATAAATATTATAACTATAAAAAAATATGATAACTAAGTACAAGATAATATTACTACCTGGAAACATTAAATACATTTGGGTACATTTTTATTCAAATATACTGATTAGTACTGGTACTGTGTAGCACTTAATTAATATATAAGTTATTTTACATGCTTGGATGTTAATATTGCCTATTATAATCTTATTAAAACTTACTGAGTTGAAAATTAAATCGTTTTGCATAATACTTTGAACTTTTAGATACGCCATGCATGAGTTTCTGAATCTAATTTTTAAAACAATGTCTAAAATATTTGAAAAGTGCTCACAATAATATAAATTATTAAAATAATATACGTAGGTAGGTATAAACAATGAAACGCCAAAATGTGTTTCAAAATATTTAATAATTGAATGAAATAAAAATGGCGTAATTTTTTATTCTGAATGATTTAAACGTAATCATTTCTTACCATACTTTTAATAATATCTTATCCTATAATAAAAAAATATGCGTTTACGTATAAATCCGTTCCCGACTTATAACGCATATTATAATTAGGTACATAATAAAGAATTATAGTATACGCTCATCTTATATTTTATAAACTTCAACGTCAATAATAAATTGATATTGCATCTACGTATATATTGGTGTTATTTTTGCGTTTTTAAGGGTTTTTTTCTTCTCCAACGATATCAATTAAGGCTGTGGAAAATCCAATGGAAGTTCATTAGAGCGACATACAAAGAAAGATTTCTAAGACTTGTTGTTTTCTATTTTCATCGGTGTAATATAATATTTTAAATCTTTTGGGACCCGTCAATTTTCTGTACATAGAAAAAAAGAAACATTTTAGAGTACAGTTTTTAATCTGTAATTGTATGTATCTTACACATAATATATTATATTGTATGATATTATCATTGCGTTTATATTGTAACTATTTGCAACGTTTATTGACTTTTATGGGATCGCTTATAATCGATTAAAAGCGTCTCAGAGTCTCACTTATGATGCTCGCAATGATATCGAATTATAATCTTTTGGTTTTGTTAATCGCATTTTCAGCATACCGGCAAGACGTATAATATTCTTAGACTGTTCATTATAATTATAATCGTACAAAAAAAAACTCCGACAAATTCTGCCTCATCATACTACTTAAGTGCGCGTTCCGAAGTGCGTCACTTCTTTAATGTATATTCAAACATCAATCGAGTACTTAACTTTGAACGAGAACGAAATACGTAATCAACTATTATTTTTATCCCGACATTTGTAGTAATATTTTAGGCCGTAAAAAAATTAAATTCTGAAATTTGAAATCTTACAGTATTGTGGGTGACAAAATTAACCTGGGACAACTTTATACAAATCAATTCACTGAAATATCAATTAAATAGGTGCTCACTCGTTTTCACCGGAAACCCTGCACATTGTGTATTTGTGTAAGCAAGACAATGTTTTGTATAATATAACCTATTTATAATTTGAACGAATGAAGGGATTTATATAAATATTTAAATATTAAATATTAAATATTGCACGGATCTATAGGAGATGTATATGATACTGAAATATTGGTAATATTTTTGGTAATATTTATAGTATAAATCTGAGAAAATATGATATAATATAATCGTCAATTTGTACCTAATATAATAGTAGTTACATTATAATATCACAGTATAAAAGATATATACAATACACCAATATAATATAGAAATTACCAATAGAGAAAATGTTCAAAAAAATAAAAAAATACCCAGCATTATCCAATATTATTTCATAGATTGATATGAACAGATGAACTAACATGGTAAACTAAATTTTTAAAAACGAATCACCTTCAGTTGAAATCGTACTGTATAGATGTATATATAGAAAAGGAAGTAGTTGATTATATGTTACATAATACGTTCTTTGATAACACTTGTCGAGGTCGGGCAGCCGAGATAAGTGATTAAGATAAGATAAAAATAAAATACAGCCATGATACCTATCATGATTTATGAATACCTACATGATTCAATTTTTGTCACTATATCAATCGTATTTTGAAAAAGTGTTTTGACGTTGAAATATTTAAATCTTCGATATTTTGAACTCCGTTTGTATTTTTTTTGTAATTTACGGAAGCTCGTGTTAGATATTTGTAGGTAACTAGAATCCTTGTTCCGGACAGTAATAGGGACAGCGACGGGTGTGTGTCATCTATAGACAGTATTTAACATTTTAGCGAGTTCATCGATTGTGATACATGAGCACTCCTAACCCCGGGCACTAACCTAACCACCGTGTGTTTTAGACGAACGTCGATCGAAATGCCTCGACGAGCCGTGCAGACGGATCGCCCTACGGCTGTGCCTCGGATCGTCAGTTGCCGCCATCCCCATTGTGCTACAAAAGCAACAACGTGTCATTTCCACAGACGGTCACCAAGAAAAGGAGCAATGCCATAGACATCATTGACCCAGAGACCGGCGAAAAGTTACAATTATTATGAACTTAAATCTGCAAGCCCAGAGCGCGCGTTTGCAGTCGCGCATGTCATCGACTTGTTACCACATTTTGCGTTCAATAAAATAAACTTTAATTTTATTCGTCAAACCAACCACTATTAACGTTATAGTACACTATTGACGTTTTTATCTGGAGGTGGTCGTCGTACTATATTATATTAATATTCAATATTTATTAAGGGGATTCGATGCAGCGTATTTATTTCATGATTTAGACCTAAAAGCCTGACAAAAATACGCCTACTTAGAATATTATTATCAGATTTCAATTCTGTAAAAAGATTCGAGTTCATTGACAATTTTCCTAGGTTATTGTGGGAATCAATTTTCGATATTTTTTTTAGAATTCACGTTAAATCATATTTCGATTTCTCAATTTTTTGAAAATTGTTTGTGTCTTTCTTTAAAAAGTTAAACAGTTATTCAAAAATCGACTCCCACAATAACCTAGAAAAAAGAACGATGAATTCAAATATGTTTACAGAACTAAAATCCGATCATTCTAAGTTATCGTATTTTTGTCAGGCTTTTAGATTTTCAGGATTTCAATTGATTGAAATTAGTTTCTCGTTGGAACAAATATTTTAGTATGTGACATGTGCATGCGGGTGCGAACCACTGATTCCGAACGTATCTACGCACACTAATGATCATTTACTTCGCACACAAACACACTGCGAAACGACTATAATACATCGAATTGCCTATACACGACCCCTTATTAAATCACCGGATCGAATCCCCTTAATATAAAAAAACGAAAATGTCTGTAATAAGGCGAGTTGGATAGGCAACTTTGCTACACCTGCACGATGCCGCGTCAATTCTGATGCAAAACGTATGCGCGAAGAACGAAGTTTTGCAGATTTTGTGCCTCTCGTAGTCTCGTCATCGATACCAACTCTTAAGAGTTTATGACAGCAGGCTAGATAGACAACTTTTTTCATATAAGTAGCTAAACAAGTAAGGTGTTCTATACAGAACACATCAATCCCTAAACAAAATATTGTGAAAAAAGTTTATTAACATTGTATTACCAGTCCCGAATTAAAGTAGGTATAGCCTAAAGGACTGATTAGAACATGCATATTATGTATGGGCTATTGAAAGGGTTCAAGTTTTCAGTTCAATGAGTAGAAGAGAGCGAGGAATAGAGTATAATTGATGAGGTATTTAAATCTTATCCGAGCTCCGGTAATTTAATATTGTAGTAAATTGCAGGATCGTAATTTTTGTAGCCAAATATAATAATTATTGAAAAGCTGAACGTATAAGTCGTACTCAAAAAATTAAAAATTATTATACGTGAACCACATCAACACTTCTCCGTTAATTCGCATGTACTAGTGATGTCACGTGAGAGACGGCGTCTCGTTGTCGGGGCCTTGTGGGGTCTTATCTTCGTGGCACTCTGAAGTATGATATGAATCCTTTCACGATTATTCTTTATTTGTATTTAAATATAATATTAGAATAATACAGTACCTATATAATATAGTCGTATAATGTAATGTAATATAATTAATATTATATTGTTTGGCCTTTGACTGCATGTTTTTGATTTGCAGCAGTCTATATTATAATATTATTACCTACACTATTAACGAATAAGATACTCAAACACAAATTAAATACATTTTAAATATTATAACTGTGTTGAAGCATATATCAATAGGTAATAGCTATCACTTGACACGTATTATAGGTAGTCCATTGTATATCAATGTCTGATGGTTAGGTACTAATATTAAATACACGGCCGTGGATAAAGAGTACCTAACTGCCAAGTGTCAGTAACCGTTAGTATAATTAGTTTATTGTTAACGATTATTAGATATAATTTATTAAAAGTATAAATTATGAAAATAAAAATGATATTAACAAATACTTCAGTAAATAGTATGCATAGGTAATGCACTTATACTAATTAACTAGGTAATAAAACTTATAATTACATACTATCCATCATAATGCCAGATGAAAGTTTGTAAACCTTTCTATTATTATTTATTAACAATTGAAAATGATTTGCTAAGTACCATTAGTACATAGATGAAATAATACTTTAGTTAAGCTCACATAAATAATTAGAAAACGGGTGTTTATACTTTAAAGTAATTTATTGAAATTATGAGTACATGGTACATATTGTATTTTTTACAATTCAAACACTATTCAAATACCTATGTGTTTTTATAAATAGTATAATTTTTAATTAACCTTGTAATTTATAAAAGACTAAACATTAAGAATTTTGGAAAAAATTTTTGGATTTATAAATTGGATTATGTAGATAAATTATTAAAATCTGAACATTTTTACTAGATGGGACCTCACCAGTGGCACAACTAGGGCTGAAATGTTGGGGGGGCTATATCCCCCCTGACATTACTTAAAAAGTAACCCTTGGGGGCGATGCCCCACACCCCCATATATATGTTCAGTTAAAATTATAAAAACATCATACAAACAAAATCAATTATTTATTTACTCAAGTATTTATTATACCTTATTTTAGATTATGAGAGGAGCGAGGAAGCTATTGGTGTTTATTCTTATATCATGTATACAAAATTTCTACCAGAAGCAGTGCTTCGATTTCAATAAATAGTACCTTATCTTTTAGAAAATTAGATCAATATGGTACTTTAGAGAGGTCATTTATCAATTTTCTCAATAGTTATTTAATGCCACGGTAAAAACCACCAAAAAATTACGAAAAACCGCTAAAAATAGGAATTTAATTTATAACTCTTTGTTTATCACCATAGAAACGAATAAAAAATAATATTATAATATATAAAATATCCAGACTGACCAACTGTCTCCGCTCAGAATCGTTTTTCTTATACAATGATATTATATCATTGAATTCAAGTTTCATACAATCCATTATACAATGACCCACTTGTAACCTTCTGTACAGCAGAGCGACATCCACTTACCCACTTAATTAATATTTATATTATAATTTTCAAACATTAACAATAATATTTTTTCCTTAATATCTTTATATTATGTATTATAATATATCCCCGAAGTAAAATACTACGTTTCCTAATAATATTTTAACGATATATAAATTATTATTATTATTATTATTAGAAGTAGATTTCACAAGTTTTACTTAATATAGGTAGATAGAATATTTAAAAGATTATAAAATAAAAATATTTCGAATGATCGATACATCAAATAAATAAATAATTATTAAAAATAGTTAAATAATGTAGGTACCTAATCAGTAATATTTTAAAAGAACTATGAACATATGTTGTTTCACATCGTGATATAAAACAAAACAACATTATTGTTAATTTTTGAATATTATTTATTATAATATATTAATTTTTTTAATGAAAAGTATACCTATATTATAAAAGTATAATAATATATTTGTAATTAAATATTAATAATGTAATAATTACACTAATTACGTTTATAAAATGTCATGTAGTTGTCAGTAATATTGTAGTTTGAGGATTATTTTTCCTAGGGTCGGAGAATTTTTTAGAGGAATTTTATTCCACTATTACCTATCTCTACTTTATAGTTCAGTGCTTAGCCGCTTAGGTATACTGTAAAATGATGTGTAATAATCTTACAAATACAAAATAATTTATATCATACCGACATAAATTGTTTCCTTAAAACGAATACAAGCATACAACTTATGATATTTACCATATTTATGATAGGCAATATAAATAAAAAAGTTTAAATAAAAATAAAAAAACTAAATAGTTAAATTTTTTTCCAAAAAAAAAAAAAAATATGAAATACAGTTTAATTTTAAAGATGTTTATATTTTCGGAAAGAATTGAATAATTTATTTTGAGGGGGCTACCCCCCTTAGTTACGTTTATGGACCTCACTATAAGCTATAAAAAAATATGAGCTTAGGACATTATCCGGTACTATGTTGTTACACAACAGTTTTTGGGTGTTTTTATGTACCCACCAAATCAAAATAATATGTTTCTGATGTTTTAGACATATTTTTAACTTCTATAAGAACTACCACTCCAAAATCACCAAAATTAAAAATGTTTAAGTTAGTTAATTTTAATTTTAGGATGTGTATTGTATATTTATATTTCTTGGTATAGAAATGCCGTCCTATGGTAACTTTTCATTATGATTTTTCAAATTTTTTATTTTATATTTATTACATTATACATTTATCAGTTAACGATTAAGGAAATCGAATTAAGTAAAATTAGAGAATTATATAATTTATTGATACTTAGTATTATTTTATACCTACTCTTTTGTAAAATAAAAATCATAATCATCAGTAGATAATCATTTACTTAAGTATTAAATCTTCAGAAAAACTAAAATGTCTATAGCCAATATAAACTATACACATCACTTAACGATTTGGGTGTATTGTATTATATATCTACATCTAAAATCTAAATTGAAGTTTTCATTTTATTTTTAGATTACATTCTAATTTAAAATATAGTTTAGAGGACTTCACATTCACAAGTGTTATACCCAGTTTAGAAACGAACAAACTAGCAAATTTTCGTTCAGCCGTTCGAGTCACGAGTATAATATGACAAATATTAAAATTAAAAATAAATGGTCATATATCATAGAAAAATTGAAATATTGTAAAAAGTCAACGTGCAAACACTTAGTGTTCTTAACTTAGCAGCTAAACTAAGTTTGATAATTGTCCAATTCACTTTAATTTTAAATCTAACTACACTATATTTTCACATAGTTGCACATGGGTTAGAGAGAAAACAAATAGTGTGCCAAGTGCCAACTACCGACATTCTCTCTTGAATCAAAATATTAATTTTTTAGATATAAAGCACAACTTCAATAATACAAACAATGGCACAATGAATAGGATTACCAGAGATAATAATATATTATGAAAACTTGCAAATCTCAGTATTAAATCAGTTCAACTTTACTGAGTAGAATGTTCTAGTGATATTATAACGAAACAATAGTAGGTACCTACTAATTGCACTTCAAATATAATATAATATTATTGTATTAATATTCTATATAATATATTAGTATTGTTTTTACAAGTATGTGTCCACAGTTATATTATTTACTAAAATAGTAAGTAAATACAAAAATGTTTTTCAATACGTTGAGTGATGCGTTATTACCATTATCTGTGTATAAAAAATCTATTGCTAATATTTATCGTTTTCAGATACCACTAATGTGATAATAGGTATTTAAATTGGCATTTAACAATTAGGAAATTTGTAAAACGTATCTGCATGACCTCGATTTACCATTAAACTATATACAAACATTTTCATATTCACTTATCAGATATAAAGCAAAAACATATAATTATTGACATAATAGTGTTTATTTACACAATGTTTTATAAAATCGTAATGTATAGTATTTAAAAATAATCAGCTTTACTATGGACACATTTGCCCGAACATAACAATGTTATTGCAATATTAACAAAAATATTATTATTATTTATTACTAATAGAGTCTCAGTCACTAAATCAAACTTACAATAAGAATGTGGTCCTTACAACAAAAGATGTCAGTAACTGCACATAACATTGTTTTCTTCTTTTAATTATGATGCATATTTAGAGATTATTATAATATAAAACTATGCATAACACCTTCTAAACAGTATTTAAAATTCATTATTTTATTAAGTTTAACATTATTATTATAATTTATTGTCTAAAGGCACTATAAAATCCGTATTTTGTATAAAAATAAAATATTGCCACTGTTCAAAATGATAACAGCGTATACTAATAACGAATTTCATAGTATAATTCTTTTACAAAAAAAAAGTCAAAAAAATTGAGCTACTCTCGCCCTATATTTTAGTGTCGAACGCCTTCACATGGCGGAGGCAAACATCAGAAGTAAATATAGTGGTACAACTGTCCCTTCCGTGGAATAAAAAGAACAATTTCATCGAAACGGTCACGAATTCCGTTTTCGATCAGTACGTTAGGAGTCCCAACGGATTTCTGACCACCGAGGGGAGGTATACCTACGTACTACTGAGCTACGACAGCCATGTCCGAAGACTTTTAAGGATAAAATCACTTGGCGCAACGTAAACCTCGTCGTTTTTTCGACGACGACCCTGTGTTCACGCATAAATTAAATACTTTAAAAAAAAAAAATTAAATAAACTGAAATACAAATAATATGCTCACAATCGTAATAATAATAATAATAATAGTAAAATATTATGGGCACTGTCGGTAGATATTCTTCTTCGCGTTGTGTATAGGGAATAACTTATAGTATATAGGCTAAAATAATATAAATATTAAATGTCGTATCCGCGCTACAACTTGCGGGCGATGTCCTGCAAGCTGATGTACGTGCCCAGCACCAGGGCCAGGATGCCGATGATGATCAATATGATGTCCTTGATGAGTACGTAATTGAAGCGGCCGAAGTTGCGTTCGGGCCACAGGACGCAGATCTCTATGAGAGCCGGGAACCCGATGCCCAACACGGACAGACACAGGGCTCCGAACAGCGATATGAACAAGTCCAACAGCGGAATGGCGACGGCAAGCAGGACTGCAAAATACGTTGAAATATAATCTATTAGGTAGGTATACGGTTTATGTTTACATTTTTTCGATTCGAGGACGTCGTCACAAAGTGGCATCTTAAACTGCCAGTTTTTCAGCGTCTTATAATACATAACTGTAATCATTTTAAAAGGATACAAATTCACCCCCTCCCACCCCACAATATTAACTTGCTAGTTGTTACGATACCCCTCCACCACTGTCGTCAATAAGTCCCTGCCTAGAGTTAAAGTACATATAATCATACCTATGCCCTGCGTTTTAAAATATATATAGACATCGAGAATGTAAATAACGTGAACATCTTCATGCTGTTGAAAGTCTGATAAAAATAGAAATTCGATTATACTCTAGAAAACCGTGTATCAATTGGACCCAATGTACGTCTGTCTACCACAATATGTACTGGGTATATTATAAATTTATAACCTAACTCAAGCGTCTTTTGATTACACTTTGAGACTTGAGTGCCTTGTACCTATATATTATATTAATTATGTTAGATTTTTATTGCATCGTTACACTAACACGAGCGTTTATTTTTTTTTAAGGAAGACTTTCCCAAAAGATATAATAAATGAGCGTTTTAGTTATTTTAATCATAAGCTATACGCATTTTGATCCGTAGCCGACGACCTAGGCGATAATTATTGAAAAGAGAATATTATGCAATTCCACTCTTTCGTTCGACTTTGACTTTTACAAGTGCACTTACGACTTATTAAACTGAAACTGTATTTCTGAAAGTTCGATGTATTATATATTTTATAGTACTAGGGCCAGGGCAGCGATATTATTAGGTATAACGTTTTGGAGAACGTCAAGTTAGACATTTGGAAACAAAATATATTATACACTTATAAACCATTCGCGTGTTGGCAATCGGTATAAATAAAATAATATATATTATTGTCGACGACATTTGGCACGAGTGGTTACTTCAAAGTGAATGTTTGGCAATTAACAATACTGAATACATACCGAATGTATGAGTATTTTTTTCCGTGTCTAATCATTATATTACTATACAATTCTACACTATTGCAAAGTGTTATCGTTATACTATTATGATAATAACTACCATATTATTAAGATAACAGGAGCTCGTCGATATACGACACTCGTTCGCGTTTAAAATATTATGGTTAAGAATTAAAAAATACATTTGGATTGGACTGAAATTAGAAATAAATGTTTTGCTTCCATTTTTTAAATGTTTAGATACACACGTACACATTTACTGCAATAATATGTAGGAAAAAAATTGTTTATACAATATGTAAAACATTTAAGACGACTAAACTATAAACATGACAACATCAACAAGTCTATATTTCTCTTGGTAACTGGTTCAAAACTAATTATTTATTTATTTTACTCTAGATGTTTACATTTTCTCAATGGATTTGAATTATAGGCGATGACGGGTGGGTTTGAGATAAATCTACTATGCCAAAAATTAATTAAAAATAATACTATGAATAGAAAACTCGTTCTTAAAATAAACAGAGGTACCTATTATAGGTCTGTATAACTACAAATTGTCAAATAATATAGGGCTATGCTATATTTATGATTGATATGGCTCGCTACATAATATATACGAATATGGAATATATACGAGATAATATCAAACAGAGAACTGAATACTTTATTTAACGGGCCACATATATAATGAATAATATATTATACTTAAGCATCGAAGAAAAACTTATGGAGAGCAGAGGGCTAAATAGTTGCACTTAAAACCACGAAATGGAGACTACATAAAACACACGATGAAGACGGATAACCTAGACGCCTAGATTGCGGTTTGGAGGGAGACCGAGCTAAATAAGGTCTAAAAACCTTTAACAAGCCAAAAATAGTGAGTAGGTATACTAAAGCATCGGGGGAAAACGTATCCAGTACAGAGGGCTAAATAATTTCACTGAAAGTGGAGACAACATAATACATAAAACACTAGACGCAGGAAGACAAACTAGACGCCTAGACTAAGGTAGGGAGATCGGACTAAAGAAAAAGATTTATAAACCTTATGAGTGCTGAATGGAGAAGAACTAGAATCTGAACGAGTTATACATTGTGATATCTGTGATTGGACTAAATTGCCTAAAATAATTAAATAATAATCATAAAAGTTATTATATATAATTGGTTAATTAGGTACATCTCTGTCAATTATTTCTGTTGCACCATTAAATTATATATACTATATTCCTTCTACGGAAAGCTGAACAAAACATATATACAGGACTTGATGATAAATCTTAATGGTCGATATCATACGCGTCTAAGTAAAATCATAAACGTTCTACCGAGTTGGGATTCCATGAAACGGACTTAAAATAGCGACCTAGCTTCATAATATACGTTTTACTAGTTACAGCTAAACTCAAAAAATTTTTATATTCACATTTAATTAAATCCCCTCCTCCCTATTTTTCCGGAGAATAAAAATGGCTTAAATCATAAAAACAGATCCATAAGAAGTGAACTTTTTAGTATATAATAGTTAATCACGGCAACAAAAGCCATCAGGACAGTGCCATTTCGGGCATTGTTAAACTTACACGTAACGAGCACAACGCTGATACGGAGCAGATATTCCATGGTCGTCTTGTCCCAGTTTTGAACCCTCTTCTTCATGTACGTATTCCAGATGATTTCCACCGGCACGTAGGCTTGTAGCGCGTACGTGATGAATATGGCGACCGCGAAGATAAGTTTTACCGCTTGCGAGAGGCTATAAAACAAATAAAAGTTGAATATAATATCATCCGACGGACATCGATAGCCAGAAAGGAGGTTGCTATGACATTAATAATATTCAAGTCCGTCTTGGTCTGTTCGAAGACCTCATCCCCAAAAGCTATTTCAAGAAAGTTCTGGAACAAAACGCATTTTTTTACACACGAACCCATAAAAAACCGGAATTGGATATCTTTCGCCGAGGGCACCTGTAGCAGTGACAGTTTTTATTTCCTTTAACTTATTTCACAACCCCCCCCCCTCCGCACGAAAACATTTTATCTTAATAAACACGCATATAGGTATTGCTTGAAAAAATAGATAAAAAAACCAAGTATTATATGTAAGCTGAGTATAGAACTGTCAATATATTATACTTCCAGACTTCCTCAATCACAAAATATTTCAAATAGATAGTATAGAGGTGTAATATGTTCTATTGTTTTATTTATACATATTTTAAAATATGAAAGATCAAGTAGGTAATTAATATTAGATATGTCATCTATCGTTTAATCACTTCGTTCATTCTGAACGTACCTATGTATAATTACTGTTAATTTTATTGGATAAAAAAATATCAAAATAAGTCCAAGAGCAAAAAATGTTCGTCTACCCGAACGAAGTTGGGAAAAATAAAATATCATATACATTATTATATTTTACATAACAATGAACATTTTATTTTTCTGAACATATTACGACGCTTGTACAATAACATAATATGTTATATGTTTTCCTAAGATCACGGGTTTTAGTCTACTGGGGAGCACTATCGACTTTTGATTTTTAAACGGTATAGAGTGACCTAGGTCTTTAATTTCCGTAATCTGAAGTATAATTTTCAATACTTATATAATCGAAAGACGTCAATGAACAAATGCATATAAAGAATATATGGATTTAAAAAATAACCGAGTATTATAACTTACATGTCCCCATTCGGTAGATTGAGCGTCACACTGCCCTCTACAAATTCACCGTACTTGACGTACCCGAAGAAGCCCATACCAACGTACATAATTGTGATGATGGTCATACCGATGTTAAGTACGCCGGTTGTACCACCGAAGGACGCCGGGGTTTTCATATTGTTCTCCAGCGCCAATACCTATATAAAATATTATTATTATTTATTACATAATATTATCATAACTAGTAGGTATATTGTTATTGTCGGCGGTCGAATCTTGAGGGGGCGAGTAAAGATATAAACATTTTCGCTCGAAGCCTCGATTTTCATTTTACTTGCGCACTTTGCATTGCACGTGCAAAATGTTATTAAATATAATATAACAAACATTTTCATCAAAACCCACACGCGATATCATAATATGCGCAGACTACGTCTGCACGTATATGGTGGTGATCAAACGATGACACAATTTTCGTTTACTTTGAAAAAAGTTAAACATCGACCGCCGATTACTGTACGCTTATAATATTATATATAGTAATGTATTAGGACTTCGGAACTATTTTCAAGGCCAACCGGAAGCCGAAAACTCACCACGCCGACGGCTTCCAACGCGAATAGGGTTGTGCCCACGAACAAGGTGTAATTTCTCGGTTCACCGATCAACGGTCTCGAAGATATGGGGGGCAGGTCGACAAATATGTACCAGAGCACAATGGCAAGTCCGGCGAACGTGATGATGTTTGCCCCCTGCGAGAAGGGCGCCAACAGCTTCAAGTTTCTGATGAGATTGATGGCCACCAATGGGATCAGCATCATCAACATGTAGTACCTCTCGTTCATCGGTTCGATGTAAATGTCCAACACCTGCGTAGCAGAGAAAACCGATTATCTCACGTAAACTATATTAGTATATTATGTTAATAATGATAAAGGTACAGATAATAGACATAATTTTCTGTCGCTATACTCTTTTTCCGGAAATAGAAATCTTAGTGAATCGCGATGACGTCGTTGTGATTCCGCTTTGTCATAATGTCACGATATACAACCACAAGTCTATTCCCAGTTTGCACACGATTAATTCATAGACCATACTAATTTCGTCCGTATCAGAGGGCGTTTGTTGTACGGGGAGGAAAAGTTTTAGAAAATTTTTATTTATCAATTAATAGCATTATGTTTTTAACTTATAGCTTACAACTATATAATCACTTAAAAATAAAATCATTATTGAATAAGATTATAAAATATAAGTTATAATAACATTAATTAATATTAAGACATGATGATCAACATACGTTTATCGAAAACAATTTGGTTATTTACAATCAGGGAGATGCGGACGATGAACTGAATAATTAAAATCGATTATTATTGTACTTAAATGACAAAATGGAAAATACAAAATATGAAGAATCCTAACATGGGACTTTGGTATATAGTATAAACTATAAAATACGGTCATGCTAGGTTATGTCATTTGAATAATATATATTATATGCACTTTTAATGTTAAAATTTTTTTTACTATACTAAATCAATAAGAAAAACAGCAAACTCCCGCCAATACCAAAAATAAAATTAAAAAAAAACATTTATATATACATATATTGTCCCTGGAATCAAAATTTTAAGGAGGGTGGGGCAATTGGCTTAAATATTTAAATCTCGTGTAGCAAGGTGTCGGGTGCACCCAAGCTTAAAATGTACAATTACGGCCTTTGATTGACGTAAACCAATAAACCTTTTACTTTTGTGTATATCACAATCACTAACCTGTTTGATGCTGGTCCCGATGAACATGATGTACACGCAACATATTCCCAATTGGTAGACGATCAAAAACCCGTCAACGACAATCCTGCACACAAACAAACAGTAATCCGTTATAATAAATTGAAAACGATAGTGCTAAAACTACAAATACACCACTAAATAGTAAATAGTCATGTACTTATGTACCTTTACAATAATGGGGTTATTTATAGTGTTTATTTGTATGCTTTTTAAAAGCTATAACACGGCTGTCTATATTATAATAAAGGTCCCTTGGTGGTCTAAACGGCCGACCAAGGTCGTAGTAATGATGATTAAAACACGTAGGTAGGAAGTATATCGTTACTGCGCTGCACTACATATATAGGCGGCAACTGAGAAATTTTAATTTTTTTTTTAAAAATTATATGCATGTTATGATGATCTAATAGTCTAACTAAAGTGTATTAGACACAATGTCATTTCACTCATTTATATTGTAGTTTCTTATAGTTTTTAAGATAATTTTAGTTTATTTTTCGTAGAAAATATAACATTGTACCTATAGGTACAAGCGTAAACCATAACTAAGTGTACACACGATTACTTAGTAAAGAGAAAAATGTATAGAGTTGGCAATAAGTTGTATTATCTTTAAATGTGAACACTTTAACGTTAAGAAGTATTATAATATAGGTTATATTATGTAACAATGTGCACATACCTACATGTGGAATGTACGTTCATAAAATATTATATACCTATTGGAACTACTGTCAAATCCACAAAAGTGAAATCAAATACATTAAGTAATTTAATTTCAGAACATTAAATAAAAACTGAAAAATAGTAGTTACACAGATAACCGTTAAAATGTTTTGTTTTATAATTGTTCAAGATGGTATAGGTACCATTTAAATCGCCGTGGGGCGAGGTATATAACTGATATAATTTTATTGTATTATTAAAATGTCCAGTTTGGTATTAGTTATTGTAGTTTTTAAGAACATTCAGATATTTATACGGCATAATCAATATAGGTATAATAGTATAAGAGTTGAAATAAAATCACCAACGCAGAAAGAGGAACTCCGAATTTCAAAAAGGCCGGACCGTCTTGTAGGGCGTATTTCATGGAATCCGGATAGCTGAGTATGGGCACTCGGTGTTTCTTGCACAACAGGTACTGAGATCTAACCTAGGAGTGAAAAAAATAGTATATTATTAAAAACTTAGTAAACATCTGTGAACCGTGTAGTAGGTAGGCGCTTATATATTATTATATTATGTTAATCAAAATATTATGGGAATTGTTATATTAAAATTATTGTATTACTTAACAACAATATAACATATTATTATGAACACATTATTTTTCTAAAATGTCAAAAAATAATTATAAAAGAATGTTATGGTGTTCGGTTCAATTTCTTGCTTTTGAGTACTTAGTATAATAAGTGCAAAAAATAGTAAATATAACAATAATATTATTGTACCAACATTATACAATTTATAGTAAATTGTGTCCATGATGGATCGAATCATTCGAAATCGTCTTTCAAAATGGAAAAAACACTTCTCTAAAAAATGTACTTTAACTATCCCTCCACACCCACGGGTAAAACGGACGTGCCGTTTCACCGCATCACGTCGCGGTCCGGTGGTATGGGAAATACTGAAATCGACAGGAACTGGTTAAACGCATTATAGTGTGACATCTGCAGTGTTTAAATTATGGTAATTGGTTTTTAATGCATTTTTGGTGGCGGGTCCTGGTGAAACACAAAAGCCTAATAATTACAGCATTTCTAATTGTAGACGTCACACTGTGTCGCGCTTAGCCAGTTCCTGACGATTCTTCCAATCCTTCCGCTGGCCGACCGCAAACACCACGAGTCACGACGTGGTCGCGCGTGGGACACTTCCGTTTTACCAGGACCTGCCAAAACCCATCATAATGATATAGTGTCAAGTGCAGTGCATAGGGATGGTTAATTCCCTCTATTTTTGCCCCCGTCAAAAAAATCGTCAACAGTTCCGATCCGGACGGTACTTACCAAGACGTGCAAGCAATACGTGCACAGGATGCCGATAAGTATGGTGCCCACGGTTCCGACGAGAAGTCCGGAGTTGTAGAAGGCATTGGGCATAGCCAGAATCCCGGTTCCCAAACTGCCTTTGAGCAAGTGGATGAGGGTCTCGGAATTTCTACAAGCGGCCACAGATAAAACACAAACATAATTAAAATTATATTATATTAATATTATGACATCAGTAGTCACATCAATCGTACCACATAGCTATATACACACGATGTATCGATGTATATATATGTATTTTTTATTATTATTATTTATTAGAGCTTCGACTACTATAAGGTTATTGGCTTATATAATATGCAAGATAATATGTATATTGTAATATTGTATGTTTATATATATATGTATTATAATTTTGTAACGGTGATGTTATTACACTGATGTCACTCATCGTGCGTCGTAATAGTCAAAAATATTTTCACGGATCGCCATTGTCACCAATTTACGCATAAGTTATTTAATAGTTATTAATTAATAATTATTATGGACGTATATAATCGGCGACATTAAACATGGTATGTGGTTAAAGGAGTACGACGCGCGTATCGAAACAACATAATAATATAGCAGTAGCGGGCGTTGTGGCAATAACAATGATTATTATTGGTATGTTATTATATTTTTGTACATCACATTTGTACTACGGCCATCGGTCGAAACGAGCGCGTTTGAAGGGCCGCCGACGATTTGAACTTTGCTGAGGCATGCGAGTTCTCAATTGATACGATATTCATATTATATATACGCGATAAGTTTTTTTTAAGTACAATCACTGTTGTCTATTATTATTATCATCATACACGGCGATGATAGATCAAATGCGTGCACAGTCAAGTCTTGTACGATAAACACAACATAATATTGTTCGTCTGCGATGCCTGTGCACGCCGTCGATCGATGACAATTTAAATTATTGTTTATTGCGGAACGCGTAAGAGTGTATTATTATTATATACTGGTGATACCTACTTATAGCACGAAAGGTGATTTTATTTGATCACGCATACTTGGTAAGCGGTAAGCACATTTGTCTATGCAGCAGAGTGGTTATAGTGTTATTTTGGACAGACAAAAACACATTTGACAAATTTTCGGTATAAAAAATAATGATTTCGCAATATTTGAGATCGTATCTCGGCCGAAATGACTAAGCTGCCGACGATAACACCACGGCCGTGTAGGAAATAAACTCTTTAGTTGTCCGAATTTTGGTAATTGGGCACACCCGAGATGTATTTTCGTTACATATAATATTATGTTACAAGATGTAGACAACGAAGAAAGATATTTTTAAGATTGCAAGTTTTCATTAAATTCACTTTTTCAAAATAAAGTTTTTTTTCTCATAAAATATAATATTATCATATTGTTTTTTCATAATATAACAAACATTGAATGTATTTTTCTAGAACATATTTTTAAGTGAGTATAAGTGCATAATATATGTCTTAAGATTTTTAAAGCCCTCTGCACAACTAATGAGTAAGGAGCGTATACAAACAGATTTACAAATCTAATAGGTATAATATGTACTTATTATCGAAACATCGCGACACAAATAAAGATGGGTCTAATACTGGGTTAGATTATTTTTAAAATATACACTATCCCCGATCTTATTTAATTCGTTAAAATATTATAAAAAATAAAAAATAATGACGATCATTCGTTTATAGTGCGTTCATGTTAATATAGTTGCCTAATGGTTTATACCTTGACCGCACGTGTATAATATTAATGTTACATTGTAATATACAAAAAGGTATGATAGTAAAATGATACAAGACCCAAGTATACAACAGTATAGCTAGTCCCGATCCCGGAAGTAGGTAATTATCAATATTTTTTTATTTTATTATATTTATAAAAAAAATACAGAAAATGTATGTCAATACGATTCAATAAGTACGTAATTCGATTTTTATCTGTTGGCTGTTATCAATTTTATAGATTTATTTATCACTTCGTTGGAACGTGTTTTTTATAACCAATTCTAAGTTAACTGGTAAATTTATGGTACTCACGTGGTGGGATGTTCAAGTATCCTGTGCGCGTGAGGATCGTATGGCGGAGATCCATTGGCGTTGAGCGACATGTTTTCCTGTTGCACGTTCACCGAGTATGATTTTGATTTTTGATCCTTGCTGAAAATACAAATAAAACACGAATTAAGTTTATTTGATAGATTTTACTTAAATACTGTTGTGACTACGGACACATGTATAGGTAAAATGATGTGGGCTTAACTTCCCCCAGTTTTTTAAACGTATTTTAGTTTCTAAAAATTCAATTTCAGTAGGTACCATAATATTAATATAAGTGCATCATTTTATATTGGTTATAAGTACAACAATTAACAATAAATTACGATGGTAAACAATTGAATCTATTGTAAACCAACATTATTAACAATTACATTGTATTACATATTATTAGTATAGATATTACAAATTAGAACTTTAAAATTTAAGATGTAGTCGAGTTTCCATAAATCGAAATTATTTTTATCCCCCTTGAGATTCGATTTATCATGACTCGACTTTATTAAATTGTATTGAAATTATTGCACTACCGGAACGCTTATTTTCCATTTTCATCAATGAGGGGTATAAATAATAAAATTAGGTTAAGAAGTATTATGGGACAAAATTATTTTATCCATATTAAGTATAACGTAGAAACAGATATTGGTAATTTTATCAACACAAGGCTAGTCGATAGTTAAATAGAATAATATTAATTATTTATTTAACTTTATAAAAACGAAAATTGTGTAAAAAAAGATAATATGAACTTGTAACTCAATATTATTTGTTTTTTTTTTTTACTCGATAAGATTTATTAATAATTATTATTATCTATAGGTACAATAATAATTTCTAATATGTATTGTGAATTGTGACTGAAACAGTAAAACACGCTTTAAAAGTGTTTTATCGGTTTAATTTTGTACAGTATCATTGGGTATAGACAGATAGTAGTACTCAATGGTAATACGTAAAGTACTTTATGATCGTATCAAAAAAATTACACGAATGCAACACAGATAATTATGTCCATGTGGTTTTTGGCTAAATACTTTTCGTTCACAAAAAAAAAATATTCAAAAAATATTGAATCATAATTAATTAAAAATATCGAATACATAATATAAAACATTAACAATAACAAAAACATAACGTTTGTGCGTTAATGCACGTTTATAATTCAATAAATTATTCATGGAATATCCAGTATGAAATGACAAATGCATTAAAAAAATTCATTTAGGTACACTCTAAAAATTATATTAAGGCGATGCGCTCTGAGAGAAATGCACTTCGGAATACGGAAACGAATTTTAGATAGAGCAAAAAACGTTTTAGAAATGTTGCGTTGTGCCATGTTCATAGAGATGGCTACCAGGGCCCCATGGTTTAACGTCGCCGTCGATCGCGTTCCTTTCATAGAACAAAACTAGTGCAAGTTATAAATTGTTGTACGTCATCACTCATCAGAATATTTATATTTCCAACCGTGAAAATGCACTCTAAAACGTATGTACCAAAACAGTTGTGTAGCGTAATAATCATTGTTAACAACATAATAGTTAGGTAGTTATTTTGTTGCTATATAGATATATCTCGACGACGACATCAACAACTTTTTCGATGGCAAACAATAAATAAGTTAAGATCATATTGAATTATAGGTATACAAATATAAACGTTGAAGGAGAATTTAAATTTCACATTTCAATCACCGAAATGAAAATCGGAATAAAATATTTCGGGACAATAATTCAATCATAAAAAAATACAATTTGAAATAATAATAATATAGACATAGTTAATTTATAATAAATAGCTCAATATAAATAAATACAACTATAGAATAAATTATAAAATATGTTTAGTTTATTATCCACGATTTGAAAATAGAAAAAGCACTGCATTGAACTATGTATGTCGTTTAATATTATAATAATTAAATTAGTTAAAATTAATATATTACAATAATTGTTAGTCAAAATAATACAAAATCGAATAAAATAAAACTAGAAAAGTAATAGGAAAAAACTAAGATCATAAAATACAAATTTGAGTGTAATATTATTATGAGGTTGACCGATATCTTTTTTAAAATTTTTTTTTTTTGTATCGGTGTAAAAAAATCCTGGACACTTCATCACACTAGCTTTGCAACGCCTTGTGATTTTGTCTAGTATATATATTCACGAATCCGTCGTAACACAATTAACAATTATTTTTATCGAAGTTACACTTTTTTAGTCATTTAATACTTATAGTATTTTTTACTTATTTCTGGGTTACGTAAAAAGCATACTTGGTATAATAAATATGATGCAATTACTATAGAATTAATAATATAATTTGTATAGGTAATAAATTAACAAAACATAATAAGTATTATAACTATTTTTTACAGATAAATAAGTTTTTGTTGTTTTGTGGTTTGTTTCCTAGATTCAATTAAAACATAGTTGGTGTGATGTTATATAGTAAGTATTTACTATATAACGAAGTCGAATATTTTCAAAAACTATAACGGTACAGTTTAACATTTTACACGAAATTTAATATAAATAAAAATATTAACGTACCTACTACTACCTACTATATTTCGCATAGTAATTTGTAATAATTTCACAATAGTATTTCACTTTCGAGCTAATGCTTACCAGACACCAGGATTCCATGGCCACAAGACTCACAACAGGATTGCTGTACGTTACTATAATATGGTGACGACATTCTTTCTATGGTGTTTTATTGAATTTATTAATGTCTGAGTTTTGGACAACCGTGTATAATGTATATAGTTGGACAACTACACACATCCTGAGTATAATATATTAAAATAATATATAGCACGCAATGTGGACAAATCAACGAGAAGTTCTTAGCTGCTATACGTAATTGACCAGAGATATTATGCGTATTTGACGCGGAACAATATTGTTTAACCGAAAAAACAATCGAATACGTTTCGATCAAGATGCGTTTAAACGTTTAGAATAATAATATTATATTAATTGTAAAATATTTTGATACGATCCCACAATAAGTTTTTTTTTTATTTAATTAATTATAAAATGTTTCAGCATACAGAGTGCTATTTCAATAAGTTAAAATAACTAACTTTGTATAATATACTATAATGATATAATATTCAACTATAATCCTGATGAAAAATAGGTATTTAAGGTATGTAGAGGTATGTATTATAATATACAATATTAAACAATTTCATGCATTCGATCACGGGTCTTCGACCGTTTTAGGCAGCGGGCCACCTCTTGTTTTTAAAAAATCCCGCTGACCAAATTTCGTAATAAAAACACTAAATTAATAAAAAATACTTGACATGCTTAAAATGTGTTCGCTATAGTGTCTAATAAAGACAAGGTGGTCGCTGGATAAAGACGTCTGCAAATGATGAAAAACAAATTTGTATTCGTCATTCTGGTGTTTCAGATTATATTTATTGGTAATAATAAATAATATTGTCATTACAACAAAATCTTATATAACACTGTACTATTTTAAGCGAATTAAAATTATTTTAATTATTTTATTGAAAAATAAACTAATATTTAAATTCACAATATATTGTGTTCAATACCTATTTAATGATTATCTTGTAAAATTCAAATAATATATAAGCTATTAAAATAAGATGATTATGGTAAAAATATTTCAAAATTGGTTTAAATATATAGTATAGAATATAGATTATAGGTATGGACCATGTAGTTCGTCCATGTTTCATTTAAACTTTAATGGAATAAGTTTTTCGTTAATATCAACAAGAATATTAAGAGAACATAAATCTATTAAAATTTAATATTTAACGACTCGTGAAGACAAAACACAAATAATAATAATTTAGAAGTTATTTTAATAGAGTTTATAGGTGTTATCAAAAAAAAAAAGTATTCATTTAATCGCATATTCGCATTTAATTGAACTTAGAAATTATCTAATATTTTAATGTATAAAAACAATTGATTCGTAAATACTACCTAATATACTATATCTTTAAAATTGAAGTACATCAAAGACTTATGTCCAAATAATAGACATAGACGGCTATAATAATTATTAGTGTACCTACTTTAAAAATATATTGTAAATGTAAGAACATTTTACTGTTTTTATTAAATCGAAGTCTAATACATTTTTTTAAGATGAATGTGTGGGCAAGAAAATTAATTCAGTCAAATAAGAATCAGAAAACTAAAATGTGATCTAGTTTTTCAGTTATATAACCGTATTTTTTTACTGAAATTCAAATTTACAATATTTAACTTCAATATCATGACTGTGAACAAGTAGCAAATATTTGAATTTTGCGACGTGTTCTTCCTACTAAGTCGCGAATTTATTTTGAATATTCCTTGTTGCAAGAAACAAAATATCTCATTGCTTGTTTTGTGTTTCCGTTTGTACTGTAAAAAAGTATCGATTGTGACACAACAAAATCACGTTTTGCAATAATTATAATGTGCAAACAAAGAGTTATGTTGCTAAAAACTATGAGCAACATATTTTACTGTCGTTTTATGAATTTTGTCTTAAATGTTTTGCAGATTTGATATGATTTTTACAATTGTGTATAATTGCAATTTTCCGTTTCGCTTTGTTTCGTATATTAAGTTCATCGAGAATTCAATTTACGCAGACCGGTCCACACTATCCGGTGACTTGTGAAAACGGTTAAGTCGTACGCTAGTAAGCTAATATAAGTTCGCAACACATTGATATGAACGATGAACATTTCGACACTATACGTTACGCAACGTTCCTTCGTCCCTCGACCGGAACCATGAGCACACAACATGTTGCGGATACCGGATACGGTTTTTTTTTATCAAAACGCGTTGTTTTTGTGGACGGTGGGCACATAATCGGCTTTTAATACATCCAGCTCAGTGCTAGTATCGTCTAGACGTACATTAGAAAAAGGATATAGTATGCCCGGTTAACTACAATCCGGCAAGAACAACGTATAGGTTTTCAATGAGCAAATGCGTTACAAACGGTCAATTATCAAGTGTGAGCCGAACCCTAACAAAATTCGTCTTGGCGAAAATGCCCGTTTAAAAAACCGGCCGCACCTAATACTTAAAAATAACAATTGATGGAGATAAACTGTTTAATTGCAATATCACGTTACGTCGTATCCGCATATTAAGTTGTCTCCGTCTTATACACAATACACGTACGACATAGCAATATAGGAATGAATTATTGTCCTTATCAAACTTTAAGGTAAGAACATTATCTGTGTTCTGTCGTTGATATTTTACTATATTTTATTTATTAAGTGAATTATGAGCATTTTCAAATATTAATATTTTACATAACTCATTAAAAAATTAAAATATTGTAAAAAACCAACGACAGAAGACAGATAACGTTCTTACCTAAAAGTTTGATAATAGGTCAATTCACTCTAATATCATTACTAACAGCACACTATTGAAACTGGTAAACGAAAAATGTTTAATGTCGGACGTGTGTAATACGGAGACAACATAATAATATGTGCGAAGTCCTCTTAAAATATCACGAAACTGTGGAACATGGCGTCATCGGCGATACCGGGGTATCATATTGTATTCATGTCACAATCATTATTAATTAATAATTATTATATTGCGTTAGTCGTTGACGGCTAAATATGTTCGGGCAAATGGCAATACTATTACCACTGCCATCCGACGAAAACCCCCGGGTACGGTATCCGGTTACTCGCTTGGACGTTTCGCAACTATTTTATAGGAAATAAACCGACACTATAGTAGTTACAAAGAGTCGACGCCAAAATAAGCAGCTGAATTACGAATAACACCGTAATCGATAGTCTCACAGTCGATCAAACGTAGGTAATCCAATTTACGCCGAGTTCGAATATTAACGAATATTATATATAATCACTACCTGGTACAAAGTTTAATTAACAATAACATCAATAATGTTAAGACTATTGTGAAATTATGAAGGCACACATCAATATGATAAATTAGTTACTACAAAATATTTTATAGTAGGAAATATTATTATAACGATCGACTCTATTCTCTTTAATAAACAATATTAATAGATTCTGAAGAGCGAACAGGAACATATTAGTACCTAATGAACGTTAATCGTATTTACGCAAACGTAAACAATATAAAAACAACCATTTTCGACCTAGTCACGCGATTCAACGATAATTTACTCCGAAATCGGGCCCCGACACCGCATCACAAATATTATTGCGTACCTAAACATTTTTTCTGACTCGACTGGAAACCAAATAAAAACGAATATTTTGGTAAAAATAATGCGATTTGGCCGCTAAACACGTCATATTCATCATTAGAATATTCATCGTCGGCATTTTGTTTCTGCAGCGCGCACACGAAATTACAATATATTATACGGACGTCATTACGTCCGTGCATTGAATTGTTCTCACTCGCTGCATAAATGCATAATAGTGGCCAAGACCCATGATTAGCAAGTATAATGCAACCGCCGAATATCACTATTCCTAGGTGTACACCAAACGATCGTTGACTTTGTTTTTACGCAATCGGTGTATGCAATATAATATTATATTATTTAGTGCACCTTGCGATAATGTCCACCGTCGGATTTCACGTTTTTCGACACTCTTCCACCACCGAAAATATAATATTATCATCCGAACGTCGCCCTCTGCCAATGTCTTCGAGTAAAAAAATACATCGTACCAGTACCGGTATCGTATAGTTGGTAGGCCGTACGGCGGTTGTCTGTAATTCTATTCGAATTCTCGCGCACGAGTGCATTTTGGTAGTGTCTAAGTGCGTCTCCAAAAACTGTTCGATACACCCGTCTAGCTACCTGCCTGCGCAGCCGCCCGCCCCTCGCCCGACTACTACCAAAGGAATTTTACCCAAAACTGGTTTTTCAGGTAGGTAAAAGTGATCCGTAAGCCGTGTTTTTGTTTTCGTGCGCCCACGTTTTCTAAACACACAACCGAGTGTGTGCTATGAACGTAAACAACATTTTTCGTTTTGTAAGGATTTTCAACACCCCGCTGAGACGACCGAAATACCTCTGGAAAACGAATAATAATTTCGTGACGACGGCGACGACGACGATTTCGATTTGCCTTGACAATGCGCTAGTGTTCAAATTCACAATGTTAAGAAATACCCGTGTGGTCGTGGTATGCTTCTGAGTGCGCTGTTGTATTATACGGCGCGTACAATACCTAACTATACAATATCTAACCCCCCTTTGGACACACCCTCCGTACGACGGCCGTTTCGTTAACGGAAAAAAAACGCGCTAACGTGTGCAAGGTAGAAAATCGAAAAATCCCTTGTCATCACACAACATAATATAGGCCGTAAAGAGCATCATTGTAGGTGTACAATATAATAATAATTATCGTTGTTGTACTCACGTGTCGGACGGCGGTCCGATGCCGGTCAACGAGAGCGATTCAGACATGTCGCGATGTTTCCTGGATACCTGAAAAAAAAAACGCAGGATGCGGTGGTCGATTAAAAAGGGCTCTTTGGTCTGCCGGTCGTGTGATAAATATGAAGCAAAAAAAAGACACGTGCGCTGCACAAAAACGACATCGTGTAAGTGCTGCACAGTATATCGAACGGTCGCCGACGTAGCAAACACACCACGACTGTCGACGACATTACGACGTGATATTATCTATGTTATAGTGTAGGTGAGACTCACCTTTGGGAAATTTTGGCGGCAAAACAATTATTATTCAATACACGAACGGCTATGAGAGGAAGTAACCGACTTCGGTGTGCGCGCGCGACGGATGACCCGAAATGTCAATAAGTGCTCACCGGCGGACCGCAACTACTGAACGCGTATGGTAGCCTCGCGTCGTCGTACAGCGGCGGCACTCGTCCCGGTCTCGTGTCGAGCATGCGCGCCACTATCGGGCACGGCGGCGGCGGCGGCCGTGATCGATATAATATATTGTTATCATATTATTATTATTATTATTGTTGTTGTTGTTGTTGTTGTTATTGTGGCGGGACCGGGAAAAAAGGGCTAAACACATTTCCATTCATTTCGAACGTGTCACGTACGATTGTGAATCAGGGCCGGATTAGTGGGTTAATACTTAATTTAGCTCAGTGATATCATTAATAAACAACTTTGTCGTTGACGTCTGTGACATGTCCCGAAAACGCACCCGTCTACAAGGACTCCCGGAAAAAAAACCAAAATGATAATATAATCAGAGAATTAGTAAAAATCACAGTATTTAAAATACAATCTAATAATTATTGCTGCGTGTTAAAATTATGTAAAATTAATTTTTTTTTCAAATTCACATAGCAGTTTAATCTCTTTTCTATGCTACATAGGTAGGTACTATAGGTTTTATATAATGGTAATAACTAACAATCATTACATATTATTATAATCATGTATTAAGCGTGTTTCAGCAAAAAATATATAATATGAAAATATACATTTTTATTGAGAAAAATTTGTACAGATGAGCATAATAAGTAAATCATATTATGATAGAAAATAAGTTTAAAGTTTTTAACACTGTATAGAAAAAGTAGTTTAATTTGCTATTACATGAATTTTAGTTTCAGAAATTCCCTGTAGATGTACTGATGTACAATATATTATATTGCATATATAAAAGATAAATACTATATAGTATATTGCTTTCAAAAATTTAAGATAACTCAACACTATACTTATACAAGTCTGACAAGTTAATCTGTCAGGAAATTGGGGGAATATTAAGATCATACAAAAATACTTAAATAAACTATTGATCATTGTGCTGACTGTACTACATTGTATTTTTCCAGTGTCTCGAGTCTTGCCAAGTTTTCTTTTCAACCTTCTGAATTTAATATATTGTAAAATATGCAAATTATGAAACTACCTAACACGTTAGCATTATAGAATAATATTGATAACACTACAGATGATATACCTATTAGATATTATATTCATAGTTTTATTATATTAAATTAAATTTAGATTTTAGATTAAATTGTATTTTATATAGGTACGTAGCATTTTAACAATTTCACCAGCATTTAAACTTCATAACATCATATAGATTATAATATTGATTACACTGCAAATAGATAAATAGATTGTATATTATACTCTATGATTTAGGTATACCTACTAAAAATATATTTATTTATTACTTATATTATGTTAATTATAAATCTATTACCTATATTGATTATATTATCAATTGTGTTTTTTTCTGTGGTTTTTTTTTCTTGGTATATTTTCCGAAAACCGTCCATCGGTGGGTTTATGCCCGTACCGCCCGTAATTCCTATATTATTATTTATGACCGTTTAATTATTATTAGCAGAGTTTGCATTTGAAAAAATAATTCCGTTTTATGTTATTTAGGGCCGTTCTTACAATGTCCGGTTAAAGTTAACCGACACTTAACCGGTCGAATTCTGGCGGCATTAAAATCTGTTATCAGTCGGTTGTAATCAAAGTCAAGAACGGCCCTTAGAATTAAAACGTTACACAATATTTGTGTGTTTATCGTTATTTAGAATTAAAACGTTATTCAAAATTAAAACGTTATCCAAGTTTTGCGTTTATCGTTATTTAAAATACCTACTAAATTTAAAAATAATAACCAATGCGGGTAGGTAATGGCCCGGATACGGAATATAATATAATCAATTCTTAGATTGTTTGGATGAAATAAATGTTTCTACAAAACCAACAGACATTTTAAAATATTTCATTTTGCGTTATTTTTCGTTTAATGATATTCTATAAATTACGTTTTGTTTAATAGATATATAATACTTTTTGTTAATCTTTGTTTTGTTTTACAGTATTTAATAATTTTTTACTATAGCTTTCCGTTATAATAATGTTTACAAATTTCAATCGTTTTTTGTCAAATATAACGTTATAATCATAACATTATTATAACGTTTGCCAGCCCTGAATTTATTAGTCGTGATTATTATAATACGTTTGTTTTACAGTTTTATCCCGTCCGATAGCCGACATATCGCACACACGAGTCACGACGACGATGAGTAACTCCCGACTACCGGCGAATATCCCCCATAGACTATAGTTAATAGTTGCTCTTGCTATTTGGGCACTTACTACACATTAAACTGCCCCCTTTGTTTCCAGAATCGGATCTATATACATTAATCTAATTGATCGGAGACATTCGCGACTCTTCAAAAGCCGATCTTCCGTTCTTCCCGTTCGAGGTTGAGCACCATTTGAAATGGAAGACCTGAGATTTAGGACCTAAATGGACGTCTGCCATAATATCATTATCACAGAATACATGAAATGTATTATATCATTATGCTCCTACAAATCCGTCTCTGCATAAAACGATATAATATTGATATTGCGTACTGTTTGAAAATTAAAAAGAATCCGACGTTTACATTAATTACTATAGTTAAACTCGTTGTGCCACGAAATCAGCCTCCGAGTACAATATCACTGGTACAATTCACGCGCGGTTTTTCCAGCCGTGCGCCAGACGTATAATAATAATGATAACCATACAATAATTTGCACTGTTCGTCGTCGTGGAGATGAAATTCCAGACGTCTGTTAGAATATAACGTCTAATAGGTCTGTGAAGAAAAAAAAAACCGAACACCAGACGTCGTCAGCGGCGGCAACGTTTGGAATGCGTATTATAGGGGTACGATATTGTGTGGCTCGTCGATTGATGAGGCTGTGGCGGCGGTGGCGGTGGTGGTGGTGGTGGGTCACAGTGCTCACATTCGTGAGACGTATTCATCATAACAAATAATAATAATAGTAATAATATAAAAGAGAGAGAAAAAAATAAAATATACTTCGTTATAGCGTATTATTATTATTATAATATAGAAGAAACGCGCCTATTGTCCACGATAATAATAATAATAATATAATAATATTATTATCGTGTGCTACCCAGTGCCCAGATGGTGGCCAACCGTATACTGTACTAACTTACATTACTTACTGCGTAAAACACAATATTCTATAATATTATTATCAAGATTCGTAGAACACGCGCACACGATCGTCCAAATCATCATGTCGTAGTCGTTTTCAGACAGTTTTTGAATAATACTTTAAAATCACCGACCTGTCCGGACCAACGTCATTAATCATTATGATGTACCTTCAACCTACGTATCGACGGCGAAGCGTCGTAGAAAAAATAAGTTATGGATGATGATTTGGCCAATAGTTGTAATTATTTTTAACCATATTTAGATTGAGATTTCTAAGTATTGTCAACCACAACAATGCAACAGTACAATACCAGATACTCATTATCATACATAATAATATATTCTAATAGAAAAAAGTGTAATGAGGTACCTTTTTCAATGAAAACATAAACTATAATTATTAAAAAAATATATAACAACGCAAACCACGAGTGATGATATCCGTTTAGGAGAACGAACGAAGTATAAACAATTTTATTTTGTATGATATTTAATTCTGTAAATAATAAAAATCAATGAAACCAAACGTGTGGCAAATAAAACGCTCTTCATTACTTTAAGATCGCGTGAAATGATTAAGTCGTGGTGATATCAGTACGACTTAAACTTAAATCAGAATCGTATACATTTAAATACTCGAGGTAGGTATCCGTCTAATAATTTTTTATTTTAAAAAAATCAACGGCCGTCAGTTAAATATAGAGAAGGGCAGATTGGCAGAAGGCTCGGTAGATCTGGGACAATTATTATTCTGTTCTTATTATTATTAATAATACTCCTATTAATATCATTCCAACGTCGTTTAATTTACCTAATGAATTCAACCGGAGTTATTTCAATTACACGCAATTGCACAAAGCTCATTTAATTCATATTTCTTTAAACGTGTGACTGAGGGCAACGTCCTTTGTGCATAATAATAATATTATACTAACGGCCAATACAACTATGGCGCATATTATATATAGATACGTTTTAACGACAGTGTTTTATATTTTAATTATTTAGAGATTTTATTTTTTTTTTGATTTGTCTGTTTAGTCGTGAGTAGGTCTCTGGAACGACGACTTTAAACAGCTTAAACATTCGTTAGAGCACAGCTCACATTGTGCGTGCAACCACCGCCCCCCGAATGTGTTGAAACTTGGAACTAGGTGTCTAGGTATATTTGGTTGATCTAATTTCGAAAGCGGAAATCGACCGTAACATTTTAAAAACGGTTTTAAGCTGATCTAATTCATCACGAGTGCGTCAAAACAAACAGCGTTAACTGCAGTAGAAACAAAATGAGAAAAATGTCGACCAACGATTTGTAATACTTAAAAAAAAACTGTTAATCATAGGACACAGCTGCTAAAGATGCTGATAACCTTTGAGGTCGTACCTTACAAATGATGTAAAAAAAATTAACGACGCTCTTACAGTAACATAACATCAAAATAATTCCTCGACTCGATATTAACTCGACAGCCA